GTATTACTGTACCAGTATTTGAAGATCACCATGAAGGAACTGACAGTTATAACTGACTTGTTTAGCCCGAGGTGGGGAGCAGTTAGCTAAATTCAAGTGGAATTACAGTAAATCAGTGGAACTAGCCTTTCTGCAGACTTCTTTGCTTATTTTGGATGAAGCTGTTAAGATAACCAACAGGCATGTAAATGCATTGAACAAATCATCTATCCCCCATTGAACAGACCCCTGCCTATATCATCACAGAACTGAATGAGAGAGAACAAGAAGACTTCTACCAGTTAAAGAAAGCACAAAAGGAGAAAAAATTCTCATGGAAAAATCGGAGAAGGAGTTAGAGCAATGAAAGGCAGCTAGAGTGGTGCCCAATCTTCTAGCTGAAGAAAACAATGAGGTTCTTCTGTTTGAATAATCTTTCTTGCTCTGGTTCTTTTTGAAACCCTAACATGGCACCATTTAATTCATGTTATGTAGGTTTGGTTTGTGCCAATTTTTTTGGCCTTAAACTCTCTAGTTATGGGTTTTGTGGAATCATATTTCAGCCACATTTACCACAGAAGTGATTTGAAGAAACATCCCAGAAACTTACAGAAGTGTCTGTACTTCTGCAGAAATGCCACCCTACTCCATTTACATCTGTGTTACAGGTGATTTGCTTACAGCATATTAGGAAATCACCCCTTAGGAAATAGCTGATATAAATAAGTCATAATCTCAAACTGAGGGGCAGCTGTTCTGAGATTGGTGTAGCTATCTTTGTGTTACTGTGGTGCTTCTCTCCCCAAGCTTTATGAAAACCTTATTTTTCCTTGTATGACGGTCTCTTTCCTGACTGTGCTGGGAGCAGTTCTGACAATTTAAATGTGACTATGGAGTAAACAATAAAATGACTTAGAATGATTTTTTTTATTAATTTGTTGATATAAATAAGCCATGTTCTTATACACACAGGATTGCCATCTGCAAAGAGCTTTCTCTGCAGACATATAGGAGGTGGGTAGTCTGTCTTTGCCCTCTTTTCATATATTTTACTAATAAGCTTACTGAGATGGTTTTTTAATTTTAGGGGACTAATAAATACATATTGCCAGTGAGTTAAACAAAATAGATCTTTGTTTTTATTTGGATAAAGTTCTAAGCAAAACTGAGTTTTATACTTAACTGTGAAGTTTCCAGTTGCAGCTTTATCACATTTCCCTTTGTCTGATGCTAATTCAACTGTGTACAGAGATCTCCTCTGGGGAAAAAGATTGACTAGAAAGAAGGTGGGGACTAGATCCCAAAAGGTCCTAATGGTGGAACGTAGTTCTGGGTGCCAGAAATCTTGTCCTGAGAGAAACCTCCTGGCTCTTTATAACAGGCTCCTTTTTGTCTAATGCCAGCTTTGTTCCTGCATTTGGAAAATACTATAGATCAATTTCACCTCCTTAAGAAATGACTAGACTCTCTTTAATTTTGCCTTTCCTTTTACTTAGGAACGCAGATGTAGGCAGTAGGAGAATGTTTTTGGGTGCCAAGGTTCTATTTCAGTCCCTCTGCTCTTGCACACCCATTGAGAGGGCTATTTTAATTCTTTTCAGTCATGTGGAAAATAGCCACTTATGTGATGTTCTTTCCAGCAGTTTACCTTTGAGAGGTGACCTGGCTGACAACAGCGCATGCATTCACTCTAATTCATAGAGAAGTGTTTTCTTAAAAGCTTGTTCTGGGCTCCCTAAGACCATGAAGACTTTGGGATCCCTGGAGGTAAAGGGTCAAGTGACTTTTGGCTGCTCTTTTATCCAGTAGGAGACTGGTTTGTATCACTATAGGGTTTTTTTGCTTTCAACAAGATTTCAAGTGGGTGGTGATTTCAAACTATCTCCACCTCCCACATCTTCACTCCAGAGGCTTATGTTTTGAAAGTGCTAGATTACGCCTGGGCACATACTACTTGTTTCATTTCATGCTTCTTGACCAATATGATGGTGAGAAGATAAACCCCCTGCCTTCCAAATGGCTCCTGATTGAGCTGCCTGCCTCTGCTTCCTCTGGCTGTTTCCATTCCCAGAGGAATAGGTGGCAGGATTTCCTGGTTCTCTGATTTCTCCACCCACAGGACCATCCTGGTTTGACTGTTTCCTTGCCCACTGTGCTGCATGCCCAGGAGGCAGAAGCAGGGAAGGGGGCTGTGTAGTTCTTGAACAAGAACCCCTGTGGGGAACCACCTTGGTCTAGAGCAGGTCAAAACAAAACTTCTCTTCTCCTCTCTCAGATCCTCAGAGGAGATACGAATGTCTGATTTATGGAAGGTTTGGTTTTAGCATGGAAATTTTTTTTTTAATTGAGGTAATTTTGGTTTATGATATTATGTAATTTCAGGTATATAACATCATAATTTGATAGCTGTATACACTACAAGCTCATTACCACCAAACAGGATGGGAATTCTTATCTTCAATCTTAGAGTACTTGATTTTGACCCTTAAACACTGAAGCACCTGCCAGGATGATTTAATCTTTGGATGGTCACATAGGGTCCTCCAGTCTTTGTTACCTTGTTAGGCAGCCAGGCCACTATCGTTTAGAGAGGTTTTGTTCTTAACATTCACATTTGTATGTCTTTTTTTTTTTAAAGATTGATTTATTTATACAAGAACAGAGTACAGAGGCGTGGGAGGGTGAGAGGAGTCACCAGAGACAGAGTGGGGAGTAGAACAGAGAGAAAGACCACAAACACTGCTGAGGGGAGCAACGGGTGGCGAGACAGGAGAGGTCTGCAGGTCTGCCGGCCTGCGCTCAACTTGCTGTGCCACTGGGGAGGCCCACATTTGTGTTTCTTTCATCCTCATGGTAAACAATGAAGTCTTAGCTGCTCTAATGGAGTCTTTTTTTTTTTTTTTCCCCTTACAATGACTCTAGGACTGGCCACTAGAACTTTTGGTGGTAATAAAAAATATTCTGTGTTGTCTGTGCTCAGTGTGGTAGCCACTAACAACATGTGCAGGGAAGTATATTGTTCAATGAAATAGGAAAAGTCATACACATGCAAATAGCAGTCATGCAAAAGGTATAAAAGGGTATCTGTGACGTTTCCTTTGTTTCTTGCTCTAGCCCCCATGGTGGCCATGACAAAACAACTTTTGTCGCCTCCAGAAACAACATTTCATCTCCTATTACCTCTCTCCTTTCTTCCCCCTCTTCCCTCTTCTATCTTTCTTCCAGCGCAAGAGGTATTATTCTCTCTGATCTCTTTGTTCCTTGCTTTTTCGAGTTTGGGGGGTCATTACCCATAGAAACAAATAGAACTGCCCTATTATTTTAATGACATTTAATTTTATTTGTATTGAATGGCTACATGTAATATTCTTTTATAAAGCTGTGTCCTCATTTACCTGGCATCCCCTATAAAATGGGTATATGAGTTATTGCCAACCTTTTTTGATTTTAAATAATCCTGTAACAAGAAACATTGCATAAACATTTTAATATATATTCAGGGTTAAACATTGATACATTCCGAGATGTGAGATCCTAAGGTCAAGGGTATATGTATTTTACATTGCCACAGATTTTGGCCCAAATGCCATGTAGACTTTGTTGATGGAATTGTAAATTAGAACATTGTGTGACTCTTCTGTTTCCCCATAGCCTCAGCAGTTCAGTCTATTAGGAAACTCGTGTTCTTTATCAGTACAGAAAATAAAATTCTCCATCACTTTGTTGTTTTCATTTGCATTTCTCTTATTATAAATGAGCTTGAGCATCTTTTTACATGTTGAATAATCATTTGTATTGCCTTTCTAGTAAATTATTTAGATTATTTGCCCATTTTTAATGGGATTTTTTGGGTCATCATTATTGTTGTTTTTGTTGATGTGTAGAAATATATATTATATATTTATATATTAAGGAAATTAGTCTATTGACCCTGATAATGTGTTGATAAATTTTTAAAAAAGATTTATTTATTTATGCATACAAGAGCTGGGGTACAGGCCAGAGATGTGGGGGAAATGGGTGAGAGGATTCACCAGATCAGAGTGGGGAACAAAACAGGCAGACTGACCAAAGTACACTGCTGAGGGGAGCAGTGGGTGAGTCAGGAGAGGTCTGCTACTCTATGTGGGTTGCTCCCTGGCCAGCTGGGGATCAAACTTGTGCTGCAGTGGCTGCGGATTTCTTCATAGTGCGGGGCTTAACCCTTTGCGCCACCAGGGAGTCCCTGTGTTGATAAATTTTAATCTTGTTCATGGTATCTCTTTCCATGTGGACATTTGAGAACATTTTTATGCAGTCTATTTGTTAATTTATGTGATGCCTCTGGGTTTTATGTCTTATTTTAAAAGGTCTCCCTTGTGGAAATATTTTAAGAAAGCTGTTTTCTTTTAGAACTTTCATGGTTTAATTTTTTTAATGTTTAATTCTCCAAATGTTTTGTGCATTTACCATCCTTTGCCTGTCTCATTTTCCTGCTGTCTGCCTCTTTTTGATCCATTCCCTCTTGCCAGCCACTTGTAGAAACATACCTTTATTTGTCCATTGGTTACCATCTTCCTCCCATTCCTTTCTGAATATAACTTTTAAGTCAACCCTAACCCTAAAGGAGAGTTTAAGTTAAGTTTGAACCCCTTTTGCCATAGTGGACCTGTTTTACCCTCCGTCCACTCCCCTGTTTTTGCTTTCTCACCCTAGTCCAGAGTCACTATGTCACTCTCATGCTTTCACCTCACACCACCCTAAGATCTCTATTTTGCCCTCTTCACACCTTTGGAGGCTTGGCTCAATATCTGATAAGCTCTGCCTTTTGTGCACATTGGCATGGCCAATGCAGATTACTTCATTGGGGGAGGTGACCTGAACTGGAAGCAAACTATAAAGCCATAGGATATTTGTACTTTGTGCCAAGGAGGAGAGCAGTCTGCCTCCCCTGCAGCCCAGCAATTTTGCTGGCTGTTGCACTTCATTCATATTCCTTAATATGATTTAATGCTTTGTCATTTTCTTTCTTGTGTTTCCAGAATCTCATTTTCAGCTTCTGCCAGAGCCAGCAGCAGTTGGGAAAGAAGACTGTACTCCTTGAAGAGTGAGTATGGATTTTTAACACCATAGATAACAAAAAAAGAACACCCAGCAGCCCATACTGAGCCTGTTCCTTCATAAGCTCCCTCACAACCCCTTGGCAGGCCAGTATGTAAAGGGTGATTTCTCTAGTTCCTTAGAACTAATGGAGCGGGAACTGGGCAGCTGAGGTGTTCATAAGCTCAGACATGTATCTGAAAGCTCCCTGCAAACAGTTCTCAATGACTGTACCTGGAACAGGGCTCTGAGTTTGAAGGCAGTCTTGCAGACCTGGGCCAGTGCTTTCCTGGGGAATGTGACACTGGAGTCTGCCTTCAAGGCAGAGAGATCATTAGGCAGCCAGGGCATGAGAGTGCCCCACAGGAAGGGGACAGCTGGAGGAACAACAAAGCATGAGGTTGTGTGGGGCTTGCATGGGGACAGGAGTGTTATTTGGGGTGCAGATGGAGATGTGGGAGTTCAAACAGGAAATTGAGTTGGGATCATGTGGAGTGGTTGACATTCCTATTTGACCAGAACAATATAGTCCCTGCTGTGAATTGAGAGGGTTGTTCTGACAGCTGGTGGTGGAAGGACTGAATGGGAGGTGAAAGAGCAGCCTTTAGAAATGGGAGCAAGAAGTGACCAGGACCAGAGGGACCTGTGCTCCAACTTATACAAAATCTCACATCTGGCGAATCAGTATCAGTTGGAAAATTTCTCTTCCCACCCAACATTCCTAGTAATTATGGAACCAGACTGGCCTAAGGAATTGATTGTAAGAGATTTTCAGGGGTGTAAACTCCCTAAAGCTGTGCTGTGTAATATGGTAACTCCTGTTCACATGTGATATGTGTGACTAAAGAACTGAACACTTCATTTTATTTAGTTAATTTAAATTTAAATAGTTATCTAGAATGGCATAGTTTGTGTCGACTTGATTTGGCTGCAGTGCTGGCACCACATAATAGGATGGTAAGCAAGTAGGAAGAGTGACACATCGGAGTCCAGGAGGCTAGACTGATGAGGCTACTGCTGGCAGAAATCAGTGAATCAGAAGTGGGAGGACTGTATCTGATTGTAAAATTGTTGGGTCATGAGAGTGGCAAACTGGTTTCAGAAAAAAATCTAGAAGGAAGTCCTACTCAGTTATATTAACTTTTCATTTTTTTAAAGATTTATTTATGCATACAAGAACTGGGGTACAGACCAGAGATGGGGGGGTGAGAGGATTCACCAGAGACAGAGTGGGGAGCAGAACAGGCAGACTGACTGAAATACACTGCTGAGGAGAGCAACGGGTGAGTCAGCAGAGGTCTGCTGCACCATGTGGGTAGCTCCCTGGCTGGGGATCGAACTCCTGCTGCAGCAGCTGTGGCTAGCTTCATAGGTCGTGTCTTAACCCCTTGCGCCACCAGGGAGGCCCTCAGTTATATTAACTTTTTAATACCCTACAAGAGGGAGTTTTTGATCCATTCCCTCTTGTGGAGGATGTAGGGATGAAGAGCTTTCTAAGGAAGACAGTAAAGAAAGCATCAGAGGAATATCTAGGCTAGAGAGTAGGAGAGCATCTTGGGAATATCCAGAGGAGAGAGTGAAGAGAGCATTCAAGGACCCACGGCAGGTGTGCGCACAGCTTGTTTCACCAGCAGGGCTGTCACCTGCACAGTACAGAGAAATGGGCTCAGCTAGGCCTCCCTGGTGGTGCAGGGGTTAAGTCTCAGCACTGTCAAGCTATCCCCAGCCATTGCTATGACCTGAGTTCTATCCCCTATGACCTGAGTTGACTCCTGGCCAAAGATCTAACCCACATGGCGCAGCAGACCTCTGCTGTCTCACCTGCTGCTCCCCTCAGCAGTGTATTTCAGTAGATCTGCCTGTTCTGCTCCCCGCTCTGTCTTGGATGAATCCTCTTACCCACTGTACCTCTGGCCTACACCCCAGTTCTTGTGTACATAAATAAATAAAATAAATCTTTCAAAAGAAAAGAAATGGGCTCAGCCAGAGCAGGGGTGGAGAGGGAGACAAATGAGACCAGAAGGCAGAGGTGAGTTCCTCTTGGCAGTAAGCCTGGGAGCCACACCATGCTGTCAGTGATGACAACAGAAGCCTGGCTGTTTTCTGGAAATTTCAGTATAGTTTTCCTCCATGCTGAAGAAGATATTTATGATAAGGAGTTAGAACTGCTCATTTCTTAAATTATTCTGTCTAATCAATCCTGGACTTCTGCAAAGGGAATCTGATCTTTTTCTTTTGCAGCCATTGGTCATCAGTGATAGCTTTGAGGAATCAGTTTGTCTTTACAAATTGGATTAGATGAAACAATATTTAATAATTGGGATATTATACTTAGATTCAAAAACATAGTGTTTTCCTAGCAAAAAATGTTGCATAAAGAATTTTCATATGGCAGAATTTTAAAAAAACAGCAGGAATAAGGTAAGACACTGACTGGTAACTTGTAAAGTCAGCTTGTTACCTGCTCATAAGTAATTCTAGATAAGTGTAAAGAATGTTGATGATCACATTGCAGGCATTGAACTCTGAGCCCTGTATGTAACTGATGCACAATAAATTTTGTTTCATCACAAACTTTGAAAGGGAGCCAAGGTGGCGTGAACTGGGGACACCTCCAATATTGGACTGAAATGCAGATAAGTTTGGAGGCATTTGTCAACTTCTTTAACTTCTCCATTTGTAAAATGGGGGAAATGCTTCCTAACGCATAATGTTGTAAGGGATAAAAGGAGATGATAAACTGTCTCCACAGGCCCTGGCATACTGTAGTTATTCCATAGATGGAGGCTGTCACTCTGACATCTTTAGCTATGGTAGTGGTGGCCTGCTTATTGTCATTTGTTGCCATTGTTGTTATGATAATTGTTATTATAGTGGAGAGACCAGAACTTTAGGTAACCAAATTTAATAAAATACAGGTAGATGTCTAGGAAAAGGCAAGATTCCTTGAATGTGTCTTCCATTCTTTATTCTGGAATAAATTGGAATTTTGATTTATACTCTAAGATTAAAGTATTGGAATTCAGGATTCCCAGTTTTCAGTGAGACCATTAAAAGATTAAATTTAGGGCCTCCCCGGTGGCGCAGCGGTTGAGCGCTGGCTTGCGAAGCTGCCCGCAGCCTCTACAGCACTGGTTCGATCCCCGGCAGCTCCCCGGCCATCGGAGGAGGGTCCCACATGGCGCGCAGACCTCTCCTGCCGCCCGCTGCTCCCCTCAGCAGTGTCCTTCGGTCCTTCTGCCTGCTCTGCCCCCCGCTCTGGCTCTGGTGAATCCTCTCACCCTCCCGCGCTTCTGACTCTACCCAGTGCTTGTATAAATAAATAAATAAATCTTTAAAAAAAAAAAAAAGATTAAATTTAGAAACAGGGCCTCCTTGGAGGTGTAGGGGTTAAGTCTCAGAGCTATCATGCTATCGGCTATCACCACTGTGGCCTGAGTTTGATTCCCCACCAGGGAGCTAACCCACATGGCACAGCAGACCTCTCCTGTCTTGCCCACTGCTTCCCTCAGCAGTGTATTTCAGTAAATCTGCCTGTTCTGCTCCCCACCCTATGTCTGGTGAATCCTCTCACTGCCTGCACCTCTGGCCTACACCCAGTTCTTCTATGCATAAATAAATAAATAAATAAATAAATAAATAAATAAATAAACAAACAAACCTTTAAAATAAATAAATAGGAACATGAAATTTCCCTGACACAATGTTTATTTGGGCCCACTGACATACCTTTAGGCCAGGTAGTCTTTGCCCCTATGTTGAAAGATAAAGGCCCGGAAAGCACAGCTATTAATAATATACTAATGGTCACAGAGGAAGGCATGTGCAGGTCTGCTCTGGGATGTAAGTATGTGTCACCCACCCTAGTGCCATGATGGAAGTTCTCCTTCCTGACATTGCAATTACCACTGAGCTACAGGGCCACCAAAAGCACTGTCTTTAATGCTGGTGTGCCACACTTCACACAACAGGTATGTAAAATGAGTGCATTTTTCTTTCTCAGTCTACTCAGGCAATAAACATTTTCAAGCACCAACTCTATGCCAGGTACAGTTTTAGTTTCCAGGGAAATACAGTAAGGAACAAGATTATCATCGGGGCAAGCTAGACCCTACTTTTTAATTGCCTGACATAATTTCAGAAATATTTTAAATCACCAGAGTAGGAAATGACAGAAGAGATGATTTGGATGAATGTTCTCATTTAATAGATGAGGAAAGCAAGGCCTCGCAGCTGGAGTGTAGAAGAGCCTGGTAGAAGTCAGCCAGCTGGAATGCCACCCCCAAACCAGGCTGGGGCCCGTCTACCTCCTGAGTCTGTCTCACTGACAGCCTTTCCTGTATCACCATCACAACTTTTATCAGCTTCCCTGTATTGCCTCAGCATTTTTCTTTAAATCTGCCTGTTAAATTAATTTAAAAAATTAATTTCCATCCCTGCTATAAACTGAAAGTATCCATTAAAGTCAAATAGTGAAGTCATATTATTAAATAGTTAGATACTGTTCAACTTGTGGAAGGCTTAAGGGTTAGAGAGCAGTTTAACACCATACTGAGAATTTCTCTTATCTAATGCTGTGTAACCCTGAGAATTAGTATTCTCCTGCTTCTTAGAGTTGTCTTGTAGGCATTGGATGTACAGACCTAATACTGTCTATAACCCCATGTTATACCCCTCAGAGTTTTGATCACTGGTGGGTTCCTGGGCTCCATCCTCCCCCTTGGGTAGGTAGAGTATCATATAAACAGACCCAGTAGGGTAGGAAAGCTGACTTTTTTTTTTTTTAATTTTTATTTGACATATATTTTATATCATTTTTCATTTTTGTATAATGTATGCATTTTCATCTTGGTTATAGTCCCCATACAATTCCCCCCCCTTATTTTGACCCTCATCCATTCTCCTTCCTTCCCCACCCCCCGTAGTATGTCTCCGGTTTATAGTTGCTTATTGATTTTGATTTTTACTTTATTATAATTAGTCTTTTTCCTGGTCCCTTATTTAGGGTTTCTAAATTCCTGCTATGAGTGAGACCATCCAGTATTTTTCTTTTTCTTTTTCTTTTTTTTTTCAGTGCATGACTTCTTATTTTATTATTTTTTTTTTACAAAATTTATTCTTAAATGTACAACAAGCGCCAAGACACTTCATTCTAGCTATTGGCATCAAAAGATACTATGGCAGAGAATCCACATGTTGAAATATGAATGGAATTAAGGACCACCATTGTCTCAGGCACAAGGAACATCTTACTTTTTGCCAGATTTCTTAATTCCACCTGTGGCCAAGGGGTCTTTCCCTGCAGCCTTCGCTTTTAGCTCCTCGAGCTTCTTCTGCTCCTCTTTCTGCTTCTGCTTGAATGCCTTATCTTCCTCGCCCATCTCCTTGGCCTGCTTCTTGGGCTGCCTCAAGGGCTTCTTCTTGCCACCTTCGCGGCCGGACATGGTGCCACCTTCCCTCACCTGAGACCCTGCCCTATTTTTCTTTTTCTTTCTGGCTTATTTTGCTGAGCATGATCCCTTCCAGCTCCATCCATGTTGCTGCAAATTGCATGAGTTTATCTTTTTTTGATTGCTGAGTAATATCCCATGGTGTATATGTACCACATCTTCTTGATCCAGTCATCTGTTTTTGGGCATTTGGGTAGTTTCCATCGCTTAGCTATTGTACATAGTGCTGCTATAAACATAGGAGTGCAGGTGTCCTTTTGAATTAATGTTTCTGTGTCCTTTGGGTAATACCTAGGAGTGGAATTGCTGGATCATATGGAAGCTCCTTTAGCAGGCTGAGGAAACTCCATACAGCTTTCCATAGTGGTTTGCACTCCCACTAGCAGTGCAGGAGAGTTCCTTTTTCTCCGCATTCTCGCCAACATTTGTTGTAGCTAGTTTTTTTAATATGTGCCATTCTCACTGGTGTAAGATGGTACCTCATGGTAGTTTTGATTTGCATTTCCCTGATTACAGGTGATGTTGAACATTTTTTCATATGCCTGTTGGCCATTTGCATTTCCTCCTTGGAGAAGTTCCTTTTTAGCTCTTCTGCCCATTTTTTGACTGGATTATTTACTTTGTTGTTGTTGAGTCTCATCAGCTCTTTGTAGATTTTTGTGATCAGTCCTTTATCATTAGTGTTGTGTGCAAAAATGTTCTCCCAGTCGGTGGGTGTCTCTTTGTTTTGGTTATTGTTTCTTTTGCTGTACAGAAGCGGAGAGCTGACTTTTTAAAGGACAGTTGGGGTGAGTACTTTGTATAATGAAGGATTCTTCAGAGATAGGAATAATCACCTGCTCTTTACTGCATAGAAAATTCACTAGTTTCTTCACCCAGGTCTTGCGTGTACTTGACCTCATTAAAGAGTGTGTAGGGTGCTTTGTAATAAGTCTAAGTCTTGCTAAATTGATCATGCTCTACAAAAACTCCTTATGAAAACTATTCTGCCATTAAATGGAAGATGGAGCAAGGTAAAGCCTTCCATCAAACTGACCAACATCCATAGCAAGAACCTGCGAAACAATGAGGTTTCCTTTTGATGATCAACTTTCTATTGGGGCTGCCATCTCCAAGTGTCAGTCTAAAATGTTCTAATTCCTGATCCAAAGGATTATAATGTAATTTACTTCCTGTAGCTCAGGGATCAGAGTTCATGGTGACCCTCAGCAGTTTTTAAGGACTTTGTGTGATGTGGAAAGATCATTTTGAAGCTGAGGGTTCCCATTTTCATCAACTCTTTTGTGAACCTCAGTGTTCAAACACTGTAAAATTCCTTCACTCTGAGATTCATTGGCTTACTGCTGCATAATAAAGCTTTTTAGCATCGTAAATTGAACTCCTCATAAATGGGGGTGACGCTTCTGGGGAGTTTTATTGTAACTGAAAGAGGTTTCTTACAGCATCATTGGAAATAGTCCCTGAAAGAAACAGAATTGGACCCATTTTGTAACTTTGTTTTCATTAATTCATTTGCACCTCATTTGTGTCCTGTGCTGTTCTAGGCACTGAGAAAGAATATACATGATCATCCCCACCCTCAAAAAGCTCCAGTTTTAGAGAGAAATAGTCCAATGATTTCAGTTGTACAGAAAAGAGTATTTACAGTGACTGAGAAACTGAGAGTATAATTGAATTAGAAACACAGACAGTTCTCTGCTGCTGACAAGAGAGTAGCTTTTATAACTGTGGACTCAGGACTGTCCCCAGAGAGAAAAAGAATGATTGAAAATTATTGAAAAGAACTAGCTAACCCACAATTCACACATCTGTGGCATCCTCTAGACAGTGTGAGGGGCTTTTCTCTTCGAAACTCACTCAAGCCATCTAAGTAGAGATGTCAAATCTTCACTGATAATTAGAAGTGACAAGTGTGGGTATTTATTGAATAGCAAAGAGGTTATAAAGGTTGAGAAGGGGCCATTTGGAAAAAAAAAAAACTAACATGATTGCAAGTCAGAAATCTGTTTTGTAATCATGACGCTATCATCTTACTGACCTTGGGCAAGTTACTTAACTTCTGTGACCCTGCTTCTTCAGTTTGTAAAATAGGTGATAAAATATACACCTTGCTTGTTTGACAGGGTTGGTATGCTATATCGAGATTACAAATTATAGTCCAAGAACAAGTTCATCCTGCACCCTGTTTTTCAAAATAGTTTTTTTGGAATATGGTCATACCTGTTTATTGTGTGCTGTATGCCACTGTCTTTCACCATAACAGTGGTTTTAACAGAGACACTCTGGTCCACAATGCTGAAATATTTATTATCTACCCTCTCGTTATTATTTCTTTTCCTTAATACTTAAGCAGATATCTCCTAAGAACAAGGATATTTTTTTACATTCAAACAAACACAATTTCATCATCACACTTAAGAATCATATCACTGATACAATAATATTATCTAATATCTAGTCCTTACTCAGATTTCCCCAACTATCCCCACAATGACCTTTCTAGCTTTAAGAAAAAAAAATCCTCTCTCAAGGATTCCTCATTACACTTAGTTGCTGTCTCTATTTAGACTTTTTAAGTACTTGCCTGCTTTTGTTTCCTCCTTATCTTATTTTCATTAATAAATGAATTAATTTATTAATGAGTCCATACCCTTATAAATGCTGTTCCCTCTGCCTTCATACTGGTGCTTTCTGTCTGGCACATTTCCGTTCCACTTTCAAAACCAGATTACCTTATTTTATTTTATCGGGGTAATATTGGTAGATACCTAAGCATGGCCAGATATCTGGCAGATCCTTTGTATGGCAGATCCGTTTTTAGTCTTTTGAGAAACCAGCATTTTCCATAGAACTTGGACCAGTATATATGTCTACCATCAGTGTAAAAGGATTCCCTTGTCTCCACATCCTCACCAGCACTTACTGTTTCTGGGTTTTTTGAGATTAGCTATTCTCACAGCTGTTGTAACTCATTTCCCTAAAAAGTAACGATGAGCATTCTTATCACTCAGCCTATTAGTTGTCTGTATGTATTCTTTACAGAAGTGTCTGTTTAGCTCTTCTGCCCTTTTTTTTGGCGGGGGGAGATTGGGTTATTGGTCTCTGTTGAATTGTATGAATTCTTTTGTAGATCTTGGATATCAGCCCCTTGTGCTATGGTATGCAAATATTTTCTCCTATTTAATAGGGTGGGTTTTTTTTTTTGTTGTTGTTCTAATGACAGTTCCTTTCACTGTGCAGAAGATTTTTAGTTTGATGTAGTCCCAATTGTTTATATTCTCTTTTGTTTTCTTTGTTGCTGGAGATGAATCCACAAAGGCATCTCTGACCTAGATCATGGAGGGTTTTGCATATATTTTCTTCTATATATTTTATGGTTTCAGGTCTTTCATCCAAGTCTTTTACCCATTTTGAATTGATTTTTGTTTATGGTGTGAGATAGTGGTCTGGTTTCATTCTTTTGCATGTAACTATTCTGCTTTCCCAACAACACTTATTGAATAGTGTTCCTTGTTCCAGTATATGTTCTTGGTGCCTTTGTCATAGATTTATTTTTATGTATGCAGACAAGACCTGGAGTGTAGGCCAGCATTGTGGAGAGTGAGAGGATTCACCAGAGACAGAGTGGGAAGCAGAACAAGTGGATCTTCTGATATACACTGATGAGGGGAGCAACAGGCAAGACAGGAGGGGTCTGTTGCTCCACATGGGTTAGCTCCCTGGCCAGGGGTCAAACTCATGCCACAGTGGCTGGTGATAGCTTGATAGCACTGTACCACCAAGGAGGTCCTAATTGACCATATAGATATGGGCTTATCTGGGGGCTCTCGATTTTATACCATTGGTTTGTGTGCCTGGTATTTCCTCTTTCTCAATTTTTTGAACAAGTTTGAGGAGGATTGGTGTTAATTCCTCTTTGAAGGTTTGGTAGAGCTCACGTGTGAAACTGTCTAGCCCTGGACTTTTGTTTCTTTTTTGGGGTAGAGTATTGATTACTGTTTGAATTTCCTTGCTTGTGCTTGGTCTATTCAGATTTTCTCTTTCTTCCCTATTCATTCTTGGATGGTTGTATAATTCTAAGAATTGGTCCTTCTCTTCTAGGTTATTGAACTTACTAGCACATAAATGTATTCTCTTACTCTATGACATTGGTCTCTTACTATCCTCTGAATTTCTATGGTGTCCGTTGTAACTTCTCTTTCACTTTTGATCCTATATATGTGAGTTTCCCCCCTTATTTTCTTTGTGAGCCTAGCCAGAGGTTTGTCTATTTTATCTATCTTTTTTCAAATAGCCAGCTTTTGATGATCCTATGAGGGTCACAGTGGTGTTTGCCCAGTTCTGCCCCAGGATCCTGTCATGGGCCCACCCAAGTCTGTGAAGGGTTGTGCCTGGGCCTTGCTAGTTCCTCTCTACTTCTCTCTGGGGCTGCAGGGCCCACCAGGGCTTATGCACCTGCGTAGGGGGCTGCTTCTTTGGTTCACCACTGCTTACTCAGGCCCTTCTCCTCTGGATATGATTCCTAGCATGTCCTACAGTTGTCTGTTTTTTCTTTCTGGTGTGTTTTTTTTTTTTTTTCTGCTGCAGTCTAGCTGTGAATGTGCAGAGGAGATGAGCCCCACATCTTCACTCTGCCTCCCTATCACCATTCCTTCTGATCTTTACCTTGTTCTGGCCTTCACTTTTCTTTTTCCCTTTGCTTCTTAGGCCCCCATAGGTGTCAACCAACCTACAAAACAGGATGGATCTTGATGTGGTTAACATGTTCGTGATCGCTGGTGGGACCCTTGCCATTCCCATCCTGGCATTTGTAGCCTCCTTTCTACTGTGGCCTTCTGCGCTGATAAAAATCTACTATTGGTAAGTTAAATTTATAATCGAAGTTTTCAAGAGTATTATAATTGTGTCATCTCTGCTTGTCCTTTTGGGAAGTATTAAGAGTTTATCATGAAATATTTCAAATTTACGGAAAAGTTGAAAGATGTCCTTTTTTGAATTTGGGGACCTTTCTTGACATATTCATAGTAGCTTCTTACTAGAAAAATTCTTCCAGGTTTCTGATAGTTTTTTTTAACTTGGGAGGCCACCCTTACTTCCAAAGTCACAAATTCTGTCTTTAAACAAGGCTTATATGTATTCATGGGGATTACTTTGGTATTTTCTTGGTTATTGGATTCTGATCCAGTGATGTCCTGACAGATGTGGTGATGGGCACTGAAAAATGAGTCAGAAAGAGCAGGACCGTGGAGATGGCATGAGCAAGACAGAATGGTTTTACATTTGTTCTAAAAGTGTTCACTAGTAAAGTGACAGAAAGAAACACAAATATCCAAAACTTTTATTCTTACATCACCTTTATACTTCTTTCCCTATTTACATTCCACCTGTTTTCTGAAAGAAAATTTTTGAGCTTTCAGAGAGAATGAAAACTTTTATTTGGGATCAAAGGTAAAGGTTGCAGCCCAATCACACATTCCCAAGTGAACTTTGGCAAAACTTAGAGGGGGACCTTCCAGTTATTTAAGTTGTTTCTGAAAATTATGATCAGCTACTAAGTTAGTATCTAAGGAAAAAAATAAGCCACCGGCAGTTGCTTCCAGGATGTTAGTGGTTTTACCAGGGGGTGCACTTTTAAATATTTTCATCAGTATTATAGTCTGCAATTCTCCCTGACTCTACTTTAAACATCCTTGTCAATAATGATGGTCTTTTGGAATTTTTCCTTCCACACACTTCCACTTTTCTTATTTTCTTTAGAGTAAATCACCTTTTAAAACAAATCTTAATTCAATTTAAGAGTGATATAAATATTACCACTTTAAGTGGAAAGCATGCCATAAAATAGTAAATATTAAAAAAGTAAAAATGATTCAATGCCATTAGCAATGTTCTTAAGTTGTGACCTATAGAGACTGTATCTCTTCTCTTTATTACAAAGTATAAGAGAGGTATAAGAGATGAGGCTGCCCAGAGCAGAACCTTCCTCCTGATGGAATCAGAAGGGTAACCATTAAAGAGAAATTTTCTCATGATGTGTTTCAATGAATTTTCATGCCACAGATCCTTTACCAAATAGAATCACCCTATTTACTCCCATAGCATGTATCCCATGGTGAAGGAAATACTGAAATAGAACTGGTGCCATAGGTAAGCACATCAAGATTTAACTGGGACTTCTGGAGTTAGAACTAACTGCACACAGAGAAGTCTGCAGGGGTGTTGTGCTTGGACCTTTATCTGCCCTGCTTTCTCACTCCCTTTTGTTTCATTAGAGTGGAATTTTCCGCCTGCTAGCCAGACTCTGATCCCTGAAAGGAAGCTAATTGAAAAGAAGGGAGCTTTTCATCTTTCACTCTCTTGCTCTCTCTTGAGGGAGTGGTGGCCCCCTCAGAGGGTCACCCAAGACCCACCTCTGCATTGACGAAGCTGAGAATCCAGCTGCTTGAATGCCATTTCTCTGCAGTGCTGGCAGCAGGAGTGCTTTGGGGCCAATGTGCCTGTGTGGTTCTGACATGGAGAAGCCAGAGCTGGGTGTCCCTGCAGGCCCTGCAGAGGCACCATGCAGAGGCCACACAAAAATGCCTTTTTTAGGAACTCTCCTGCACTGTTGGTGGGAGTGCAAACTGGTCCAACCACTATGGAGAGCTGTGTGGAGATTTCTGGACCTACTAAACATAGAGCTTCCATATGATCCAGCAATTCCACTCCTAGGTATTTACCCAAAGGACACAGAAACATCAATTCCAAAGAGCACCTGCACTCCTATGTTTATAGCAGCACTGTTTACAATAGCTAAGCTTTGGAAACAACCCAAATGCCCAAAAATAGATGACTGGATCAAGAAGATGTGGTACATATATACCATGGAATATTACTCAGCATTCAAAAAAGATAAACACATGCAATTTGCAGCAACATGGATGGCACTGGAAGGGATCATGCTCAGCGAAATAAGCCAAAAAGAAAAAGAAAAATACCGGATGGTCTCACTCATAGCAGGAATCTAGAAAACTTAAATAAGGGACCAGGAAAATGAATATAAGAAAGTGAAAATCAAAATCAACAAAAAACTATGAACCAGAGACACTTTTTGGGGGGTGGGGGGCGGGAGGGGAAGGATTGGGGTCAGAATGGGGCGTTTGCAATTGTATGGGGGAATATAAAAATAAAATTTAATATTTAAAAAAAAAAAAATGTTACCTCCAAAAAAAAAAAAAAAAATGCCTTTTTTCTTAAATCAAATTGAAGCAGGAATGCCACTGGGTGATGTGGGCCTAATCATGCATGTGGCTGCGTACACAAGTGTGATTTCATGCAGGCTAGTTCCACCTGCCTCACCTGTGGAAACCAGCCTCTCTGCTACATCGTCCTCAGCCCCCAAGTTCCTTGGGCCATGGAGGTTTTCAGATCAAGAGTGTCAGAATATTTTTGACATTTTATCTTTAAAGAGAGGAATAACCTCATAACAAATAATTTGCTTTTTTTTGAGTAAAAATACACATCACATAAAATTCACCATTTCAAAATGGTTTTAATATATTCACAGTATCATGCTACCATTATCGCTGTCTGATTCCAGAACATTTTCATCTCCCCAAAAGGAACCCCCATACTTATTAGCAGTTACTCTGTTTTCCTTGTCCTTCAGCCCCTAGCCACAAGTAACTACATTCTGTCTCCCTTGGTGTGCCTGTTTTGAAAATATCATATGAATGAGATCATACAATTTGTGGCCTTTTGTGTCTGGTTTCTCTCAGTATGTTTTCAATGTTCACCCTTGTTGCCATCCATGTTGTAGCTTATATCAGTACTTCATTCATTATTAGGGCTGAATAATAGCCCATTGTTTGATGATAAACATTTTATTTATCTAAATGAGGATTTGCATTCTTTTTTACTTTTTTACTGTCATAAGTAATGTCACATAGCAAAAAAAAAAAAAAATGACTTATTTACAAATAATATCCACACATCCCAGAGAGGCCCACAGAGTAGAGCTTCAGTCCCTTATTCACTGAGAGCACAGATGCATGTGATCTAAAGCCTATCACTCAGCTCAGAGCTGTGGCTGGAGGAGAGACACAGGGCTCTTTATTTTCTGAATTCATGCATGTAGACAACAGGAAAACCAGTTGGTTGGGGAAACTGAACATCTTAAAAAACCTTTTGGATTGTACCAGGTAGTGTTGTGACATAGGGGTAGGGGGGAGTTGATTATAGAAATGGAATATTGTCATTGCAAAGAGCTGTTGGAAATTCAGCAAGTGGCTTTTCCTTACCTCACTGAAATGCATGCCTTGTTTTCTCCTTACTGCAGGTCACTTCTACACACTGATTATCATATGATACACAGTTTGTTTAGTTTTTTTAAGATTTATTTTTAATTTATTTATACATGCAAGAACCTGGGGTGTAGGCCAGATGTGCAGGTGGTAAAAGGATTCACCAGACACAGAGTGGGGAGCAAACCAGGAGGATCTACTGAAATCCACTGCTGAGGGAAGCAGCGGGCAAGACAGGAGAGGTCTGCTGTGCCATGTGGGTTAGCAACCTGGCCAGGGATTGAACTTATGCAGCAGTGGCTGGCAATAGCTTGATAGTGCTGAGACTTAACCCCTGAGCCACCAGGGAGGCCCAAGATGAGCAGTTTTACCATGAGTCACCTATGTTCCTTAACCACAGCTACTCCTTAAAAGGTCTTCATTAGCTCAACTGCTCCATCGTGACCACCAGTGGGGCCACCCAGCAAACCTGGGTCAATAAGATAATTTTAAGGATTGCCATGTGGACAGGAACAGCAGACCATAGAGGTAGCTGGGCACCCTGTCCTGCTCTCACCTCCACCCCATACCCCATCTCCCTGCCCTATGAACATGGGGGTATGGTGAAATCATCTCTCTGTGCTCTCTCCTGGACTTCCCTATGGGATCTTCAGAGCTCCTCAGGGAATGAACAGGTGTCCCTGGTAGACCACAGCTGGTCTTCAGAGCAGCTCTCTCTAGATAAGTGTCCTTGGAGCGTGGCCAGTCTATTTCCACAGCAATATGGACTAAGATTGTTCTTGAAAGAGGCACCAAACGCTTTGCAGTGAGTCAATGAAGAGCTTCAACTGGAGGAGCTACGGCCACTGTGAATGTCATCAAGACCAGCTATAATTTTCATATATAAAATATTAAGACTGTTCACAAGATGAAAAAGATACATTTTCTAAGATATTTATTTTCCCAAAGGAACTCAGTAGTGAACAGACAAGAAATCATAAATATGAGAGAAAGAAAGGGATAAGAATTTGAAAAGAAGAAATAAAATTGACTTTCGGGCCTCCCTGGTGGCGCAGCGGTTGAGCACTGGGTTGTGAAGCTGCCCGCAGCCTCTGCAGCGCCGGTTCGATCCCTGGCTGCTCCCCAGCCGCCAGAGGAGGGTCCCACATGGCACACAGACCTCTCCTGCCACCCGCTGCTCCCCTCAGCAGTGTACTTCGGTCCTTCTGCCTGCTCTGCTCCCCGCTCTGGCTCTGGTGAATTCTCTCACCCTCCAGCGCTTCTGACTGTACCCAGTGCTTCCATAAATAAATAAATAAATAAATCTTTAAAAAAAAAACTGAAAACATAGATCCACAGGAAAACTTGTACATGAACGTTCATAGTGCCATTATTCTTAACAGCCAAAAAGTAGAAACAAGCCAAATGTCCTTCAAATGATGGGTAAACAAATGTAGCATATTCATCAATGGAGTGTCATTTAGCCTTCAAAAGGAATGAAGCACTGATATATTCAATAACAAGGATGCACTTGAAAACATTATATTAAGTGAAATAAACCAAATATTAAATGAAATGAGCTGGACAGAAAGGTCAAATATTGCATGACTCTAGTTTACAAAATATCCAGAACAGGCAAATCTTTAGATACCTAAAGCAGACCAGTGATTGTCATGAGCTAAGGGAGGGGGGAATGGAGAGTGATTCCTCATGGGTATGCATTTCTTTCTCTCTTTCTAAATTGAGATAACACATACATAACATAAAATTTTAGTTTAAAATTCTAACTATTTTGTCATTGTAACCATTTTTTTTTATAACACATACATAACATAAAATTTTAGTTTAAAATTCTAACTATTTTGTCATTGTAACCATTTTTTTTTAAAGATCCATTCATTTATGCATACAAGAACTGGGGGACAGGCCAGAGGTGTAGGGGGTGAGAGGATTCACCAGAGACAGAGTGGGGAGCAGAACAGGCAGATTGACTGAAATACACTGCTGAGGGAAGCAATGGGCGAGTTAGGAGAGGTCTGCTGCACCATGTGGGTAGCTCCCTGGCTGCCCGGGGATCAAACTCGTGCTATAGTGGCTGCGGACAGCTTCATAGGCTGCATCTCAACCCCTTGCGCCACCAGGGAGGCCCATTGTAACCATTTTTAAGTGTACAGTTCAGTCAGGTTTCTTTTTGAGGTGATAAAAATGTTCCAGAATTAGATAATGGTGGTGGTTGCATAACTTTATGAATACTCTAAAAACCCCTCAATTGTACTCTTTAAAAGGGTGAGTTTTGTGGTATGTGAATTATGTCTCAATAAAAAGAAATGTATATTCTCCATCCAGTCATTAGGTAATGCAGATCAAACCTACAATGAGATACTACTTAGCACCCATTTGGATGGCTCTTACATTTTAAAAAGGAAAGTAAGTGTTGATGAAGGTGTAGAAAAATTGGAACCTTTATGCATTGCTGGTGGAAAAGTAAAATGGTACAGCTGCTGTGGAAAAGTTTAGTGGTTCCATAAAAAATTAAATACAGAATTACCATATGAGCTAGGAATTCAATTTCTGGATATATACCCCAAAGAATTCAAAGTAGAGACTGAAATAGATACTTGCATACCAATGTTCATAGCAGCATTGTTCACAAGAGTCAAAAAATTAGAAACAAACCAAATATTCCATCAAAAAATGACTGGTAAGCAAAATATGGTGTATACATTCAGTGGATTATTATCCAGCCTTGAAAAAAAAGAAGATTCTGACACATGCCACAATATGGATGAACCTTGAAAATATTATGCTAAGTGAGAAAGGCCAAATATGAAAGAACAAATAGTACATTAATTCTATTTGTAAAGGGTACCTCAAATAGGCAAACTCATAAAGACAGAAAGCAGAATACAGATTATCAGGGGCTGAGAGGAGGAGGGAAACAGGAAGGTGCTGTTTCATGGGCACAGAATACCTGGGATGCCCGGAAAAGATCTGGGGATGTGTAGTAGTAATGGTTGATGTACATCATTGTGAACATAGTTAATGCCGCTCAGTTGTACACTTGGTTAAAATTTTACCACAAAAAAAGATGTGTAGGAATGCTTCATCAGAGGTTCTTGTAAGCTCAGGAAGGTGAGATGAGATGTAGGATGAAGGATCTAGACCCTGAGATCCTTGCTCAAAGAGACACTCCTTAGAGGCTCCTTTTCTGGGATTTTCTATTTAGGTCAGTAGAGCCTTTGATGACTTCTGTCTGTGAAACTGGAGCAATTTGGATTTTATGTTGAGATTGTTAGTCTGTGAAGGATCTTGCTCCTAAAACATTTGTTCATCCCAATTAGTTCTTATTTCTGTTTTGTGAATTAGCAGCTATTTCTAATCTCTGCCTTCGTGTTTCTGAATTAGAGATCATGTATTCTCTGTTATTCTTAAGCTGAAGAAATTGAATTTTGTGTTTTTTCCACTTGGACTTTGGGTCTTTCATATTTTTTTTCAGCTGACCCAGTGGCTTAAGGAGTATTATTTTCACTCTTTCATTGAGAGGATTGTTTGAAAATATTAGTTTTCATTTTTCTGAAGACTAGGTAGGATTTTCTATTGGATGCACCAATAAATGAAAAACATGGACTAGGACTAGTACCAAGAGGTCCATCTGGTAATGAAGAAGTCCTCAGGTCCTGAGCCCGGCACTCAGGCTTCTGTCCACATCTCCCTTCACCCTGGCTGCTGTTGGTGGTCCTGCCTCTGCGGAGCCCATGTCAGGACATCTTTCTCTGTCGTCTTCACCTAATATATGTTGAGTATCCAAGTGTCTGTTCAGACCTTCTTTTTTCACAAGATCCTCCCAGCTCTCCCCTTAATCTCACACTGTACTTTGTAGAGAATTTGAAGATTATCCAAAGATAGCAGAAAGAAAATATAAATTACACATAACCTCTCAAATCATTTTCTCAAATACCTCTAGTTTTCACCATTAAAAAAAATTTTTATACAGAATTGGATCAATAATAAAAAAATTTAAGTATGAAAATTGGGTCTGTTTTTTTCACTTGATCATGTCATAAACATTTGCCTATGTTATTGAATATTCTTTGAAAACTTGATTCTTCAAAAAGTTCAATTTGGTGTTTTATGTACCGTTGCAAACAGGCAAAAAATACACATAGATTAATAGTGATTATTCCTACATGATGGAGATATGAATAATTTTAATGATCTTTTCATACATGCATATTCTATTATATATTCTCTATATATTCTTTTTAAAATATCATTCTTAACAACAGCATGATATTACATTATCTAGCTACATTGTAAATTATGTAATAAATTTTCTTTTTGTGGACTTCAAGGTTAGTACTGATTTTCTTTCCTATTTTATATAACACCGTCTTGTACATCTGTAAACTAATTTCTTTTTCAAAATTTCTATATATTTTCTTGAAATAGGTTATTCCCAGAGGTATAATTACTGGGTCAAAGGACATCAGATTTTTAAAGACTCCTGAGGTTCAATGCTGGATTCCTTTTTAGAAAACTTGAACATTATATGTGTGTATATATATTTAATTGCTAAAATTTTCTAATTTTGAAGTCCATAAAAAGGTATATCTTGTTTGATATTCATGTTTTAATCATTATTGACGTTGAATGTGTTTCCTGTATTTGTTAATCATTAGTAATTCTACTCTGAGTAATCTTTTTGTTTATTTTGCCCAGTATCAAGTTGGGATTTAGCATGACTCATATTAAGGATTTCTACCTGTGACTGTCATTTATTGCAAATTTCCCTCATTTTTCCTTATATTTTGACAAATTATATATTTTGAGGGACAATTTTTTTATGTAATGCTAATAACTACATTTATCAATTACCATGTGCTGGGCATTGAACAAAACTATACTTTAGTTGGCTCATTTTATCTTTCATATCCTTAGTAGATTGCAACATTTTCCCATATAGATGAGGAAATTAAGGTTCAATATCATAGTCAATTAAATGAATGAGCTGGGATATGAATGTATGAGCAAACTCGTGTTGTGGTGCCATGGTTTCGAATTTTGAAATACGCTTGCTTTGTCATCAGAGCTTTTAAGCTAGCCAATTTTATTATAGTTCTAATGTTTTGAATAGCAACTCATTCTGTTAAAAAGTACTAAAGCAATGTTTTGTAAATCTCCCTCCCACCACTGTTCCTTCTCCACCTACTTCTCGCTGTATTCCCCACCCCTGCTCCAGATACTCATCATAATAGTGTCTTGTATAAGCTCCTATGATTTCATATGCAGATACAAGCAAATATGTATCATCCTCATCCCTGTCTCTTCTTCTTTTACAAAATGGGTTTAAAATGGTCATTTAGGCTATTTGCTTTTGATACAAAGTATACAACAATGTGATTCTCTGAGTTATCTTTCATCTTGGAGAGATTTTCATGCAGAGAATTCACTTAGTTTAGATAGTAATTTCACATTGAAATCAATTTCAGGGCCCAAACTCCAGCACCACCAAGTCTTATGTAACCAGCAGAAGCTGAGCTTTCAATTAATTGTCGTACATTATGAGGGATAAAGCCAGAGCACCAATGCAGGGAGATCTCAAGAACAATTTCTCCCTCTCAGAGGCTCTAGAAAGCTGTATTAGCAAAAGGCCATTATGTGTTATACTTTTCGAGGAAATGCCACTTTCTTCTTTCTATTTAGAGTCACTGGGGGTATTCATACCAGAATGTCCACTTAAGGTGCTTTCTGAAATGGTTTTGCTAAGTGTTTCTTGAGGGCCAAGGTCTAGGAGACTTGGAAATATGCACAGAGGAGGAGGAGGAGTGGCAGAAGTAAGATTATAGAGAGGATCTTTCTCCGCTCCCTCCTGAGGTCACTTCTTTGGAGCGTGTTGATTTTGTTTTGCCTTTATTTCCCCTCCTCAGGTACTGGCGGAGGACGCTGGGCATGCAGGTCCGCTATGTTAACCATGAAGACTATCAGTTCTGTTATTCATTCCGGGGCAGGCCTGGGTATAAACCTTCCATTCTTATGCTCCATGGATTCTCTGCACACAAGGATATGTGGCTCAGCGTGGTCAAGGTACAGTTCCAGATTCTTCTCTTTCAAGATGATGTCACTCAGTAAAGGGTTTCCCCTTGGATATGGTACCATTAGAATGGTAGAAAACAAAGAGAAACCAGAGTTATAGTTCAAGTCATCTGGAAACTAATGCAACATATAATTCAATTTTGTAAATTATAAATTTTGTCAGATAAAATCTGACTTGGATGTTATTTTTTAAATCTTCAAAATCATTTCATTTTATGAATATCTCTTAGGGAAGGTTTCTGACACTTACTTTCATCTTAAGAACCATCAATATCGTAACTATTAAGGTCAAGTGTTTAAAAAATTGTTTGTTCCTTTGTACTCTAAGTTTCTCTTCTTTCTTTTCTCCTTCCCTATTCCCCCTTCCTCCCTTTCTCTGTCCCTCTACGTCTGCTTTTTTTTTTTGGCTTAATCATTTAAAGAAAAAGTCAATCTAGCAGCTTTCTGGGCTAGTTTTCCAAATCAGTCACTTTCTGTCCTGCGGGTTTGATGACTTGTTTTACTTGTTAAGAGTGTTGAGCTGGCAAAGGTTGGAGCTGGGAGAGGTCTTGGAGGGAAGCATCCTAGGATCCCATTCTCAAATAGAACCATAGCCCCCCAAGTACCGTATTGTGTATACTAGAAGGAAAAGGTTCACACAGCCACTAGTTATTTCTGTGTCCTTCCTCCCAAATTCTGCTCCCAGGACAGTCGTCCTCATGTCTTGGTGAGCCTCTCACTTCTTGTCCCCACCTTAGTATAAGTGTCTTTCATATAACTGGATATTTATTAGTTGATAACCGATGTTTCTCATTTTCCTGGTTAAAAGTGACACATATTTAAATGAAAGAAGGTGCTTTTGGAAAATAATCACCCCAAGAATTAAACCTTAGTGTTTAAAAGAAAAGTTGAAACCAGAATGAGATTTTTAGAGATGGTGGTTGGGTTCCCTTAGTAGGTTGGTTCTGAAGCTGTCTAGGACTCTGGGAGACCAGAACCATCCCATCTCATTCCAAATCAGTGGCTACATGGCTGGAATAAGTGTGGAAGGGATGAGGGAAAGGAGAAGGTAGTAGTACTTGCCAACAGGTATCAAGAAAGAAGAAGAGACTCAAGCTGCTACTCTGATATTGTCCTGTTTGATCCGTCTTTTTCCAAGTCCCCTCCCTCTTGTGTCTTTGGGGCCTGTACTCTCTGTGAAGTTACTGACAGTGCTTATTCACATCAGATGTTACTAGGGTTGAATTCTGGGTGACCCAGGCCTATACATCCTCAAGGATGACCATCTGGGTTGCTTGGTAAGTGGGTACAATCTCCCCAGAAAAGTAGGCAGACGTATTCTACATACCACATACTGACTCTGTTGGCCTGTGTGTCCTCAGTTCCTTCCAAAGAACCTGCATTTGGTCTGCGTGGACATGCCAGGACATGAGGGCACCACCCGTTCTTCCATGGATGACCTGTCCATACAGGGGCAAGTCAAGAGGATCCACCAGGTAAGCAGAAAGCTCCATCAGAAATTGTCCATAAAGGGTCTTGCCACCACAGCATGCCCAAACCTGGACAGCACCTAACGGACTCATACTGACTCATAACCAGTCACCCATGCATTCTGCCTGCAACTGTAAACAAAATGACATCCCAGTGGTTTCCTTGGTTGACTGTGGAAAGCCAGGGTTTATTGCAGACTGTTCCTCTCTATGCCTAATATTTTTTTTCTGCTATCTGGGCTTTTTCTCAGCTCTTTCAAAAAGGAATTAAGAATTCTCAAATTTCAAAAAGGAATTAAGACCATTTCCCTAGAGTCTCTTTTTCTGCTTACCAACTATATTGATGATAGTAGTAGCCCATCTGCCTAGTTTGGAGGATAGTGAGGGCCCTCTTTGCATTTTGTGTATTTTAGCATCTATATTCGGCCCCCTCCATCTATACTTTCAAGGCCAGGGGGCTCAAACACAATTCTAGAATTTAGTAATCCATACGTTTCAAATTGATGTTTAGGACCTGATGTTTAGGTATAGTCCCTTTATAAGGATGTTGATGTCTCTCACATACCCCCCCCAATTAAACTATTCTAATGAGGTCAAGAACCTTGGCTCTTTGCTCTATCCTCAGCAGCTGACCAGATATATAATGGATATCCAATAATTATTTTTTATACTGATGGATATATGTGGGTGGATAGATGAATACTTGGGTGGTTGAACCGACAGATGGATAGGTGGATAGTTATATGAATGGACAGTTAGACATGTCGGAAGTGCCTTGAATTTGGGTAAGTGTCAGCACACTGTCGCCCAGGGGCTTTATTTGTCCTGCCTTCTATTTTTGTAACCTAGGTTTTATTGAAGCACAATTTTATCCATTCATTTATATATTGTCTTTGGCTTCTCTTGGCAGCAGACTTGAGTCATTGTGACAAGATCATATGGCCCAAAAAGCAGAATATATTTCCTCTGTAGGAAATATTTACACCATTGAAAAGCTTGCTGATTCATGAATTAGCAGAATATTTGTTAGTTTTATACATATAAGTCACTCCTCAGTCACTAGTGCCAGGTAAAAAGCCTGCCAAGATAATGAATGCAGAATTTTAGATCCCTTTTCATCAATAGCTCTTTTCAGTTGTCCTCATAGGAAGTACTAGGGATTTTTGCTCTGTAGTCACTGTTGTCACTATCTACAGCTATAAAACCAGGCTCCTTCTCTATTCCCCCACCCCTCAAGTTTTATTGATTTGCCAATTGTGTACATAACTATGTCATTTTGGGAATACTACTTCATTCCTCCATGCGTGCACATGCTTCATGCACCTCCACCAAAGCTCTAGTGCTAATAGCCTATCACCTGCCCTCCCTCGCTCCTCCTCCCTCTTCACCCCCTCTGGTATAGGATATATTGTAGTATAATTTTAGTATTAAATTATTCTAGTGTAATGTTTTACAAAGTCTAAGAATTTGTTGTGTTTTGCCAGTTTTGGGTTTTTTTGTTGTTATTCATATTCCATAAATGAGCAAAACTATCTGGTAACTGGTTTTTGTTTTCTGACTTATTTCACTCAGCATAGTCACCTCAGGATCCCTCCATTTTGTCCCAAATGGCATTATTTCATTTTTTTTTAATAGCTCAGTAGTATTCCATTGAGTCTGCAATTTCTTTGTCCCATCATCTGTCATTGGGCATCTGGGTTGCTTTCATGACTTGGCTGTTGTGAATAATATTGGCTGTTGTGAATAATACTGCTTTGGAACACAGAAATACATAAATCTTTTTAGGATAAATACCTAGCAGTAGTATTGCTACATCATATGTGTGTATATATATATATATATATATATATTTTTTTTTTTTTTTTTTTTTTTTTTTTTGAGGACTCTCTATTTCGTTTTTCACAGAGGCTGCTTCAAATTGCATTCCTACCAACAGTAGATGAGTGTTCCTTTTTCTCTACATTTGTTGTTTTCTCTACATTTTCTCATCATTTGTTGTTTCCAGTCTTTTTGATATAGGCCACTCTTATAGGTGTGAGGTGATTTTTCATTGTAGTTTTGATTTGCATTTCCCTAATAATAAGTGATGTTGAGTGTTTTTCGCACGCCTATAAGCCATCTGAATGACTTCTTTGAAAATGTATCTATTTAGGTTTTTGTCCATTTTTTGATTAGGTTGGTTTTTCTATAGTTGTTGAGTTTTATAAATTCTTTATATATTTTCAAAAATCAGGTGTGTGATGGGAAACTATCTGCTCCTGGTCCATAGGTTGCGTTTTTGTTTTTGTGATATCTTTCTCACACCAGATGCTTTTTAGTTTGATATAGCACCATTTGTTTTTGTTTCCCTTGGCATTGGAATTGTGTCCCCAAATGCAACTCTGTGGCTGATGTCCAGCAGTGTATCACCTGTGTTTTCTTTTAAGTATTTTGTTTGAGGTCTTATGTCAAAGTTTTTAATCAGTTTTGAATGAAACTTTGAGTATGGAGTGAGTTAAGTTGTTGCAAGTGGCTGTCTAAGTTTCTCAGTACCATTTGTTGAAGAGGTTTTCCTTTATCCATTGTATGATCATGGCTTCTTTGTCAAAGATTAGCTTTTGTATGGGTTTATTTCTGGGCTCTCTATTCTATTTCATTGGTCTGTACTTCTGTTTTTGTTCCAATACCATGCTGTCTTGATTGCTAGCACTTTATAATATAGTTTGGAGTCAGGCAGTGTGATAACTTCATTTGCTTTTTTTCTTCCAGGATTTCTTTGTTTATTTTGGGTATTTTATGGCTCCATATAAATTTTATATTTGTTTTATCCAAACCTCCTTCTCATTTCTCTGTCTAGTTTGTAGAATGCCTCAAGCTAAACAAAAAGCCTTTCCATCTGGTTGGCACCTCCATGGGTGGCCATGTGGCTGGGGTGTATGCTGCTTCTTACCCATCGGATGTCTGCAGCCTGACTCTTGTGTGTCCAGCTGGTAAGTTACAAGGCTAAAATATCCCCATGAGTGACTTGAACATAGTGGGGCATGAATCTAAAAGAGCCAATGTCTGCTATGACTTCTTCGAATCATCTTTTTGATCTGTCCTTCCAAGATATGAAATACTTTAGTGATTGTTTACCAAACAGTAGCTGTATAACCACAATCATAATCATCCTGACTTTTAAAATATAGAGCTAACCTTGTTCCACAAAAATTTTGAGATGGTTAATTTAAAAATGTTTAGTACTTTGTAACATATAAATATGTTTAAATATAATGATAATATTGTCATTTGACATTTATTTGGTTCTTTTAGCTAAGTTCTTTATATAAATTTAGTTCTCTCCATAATCATGTGAAGTATAGTTTTGATTATTATGCTTTCTGTTGAAAACTCAGAGATCTTTATTCCTTACAAGATTTTTTTTAAAATGAAGTTTAGTTTCTCTGTTCATATATGTATCCACATGCACATCCATGTAAGCAATTACATGTCCCTGGAAGTTATGACCTGAAGTTAATTTATTTACATTCATTTTTTCCTTGGATTTATAATGTGGTAGAGAAAAAGTTCTTAATTTTTTTTCTCATTTCCTTGTTTCCTCTCTCTCTTTCTTTGGTTCTTTATAGAGGTATGATTTTAATATAGGATATTGCCCAAATTTTAACTCATCTTAGTGGTTTCTTACATGTGTAATTACTATGTAGATCAAGTTATCATGCTCATTTTATAGGTAGAAACATTGAGGCACAAAAAAAATTCTGTTAGTCCAAGAGCCTAGGTAGGAATGGATCGGAGACTTTCTGACTCTACAACCAAGGTGTGGCCGCTTTGGAAGTTCTTCAGTATTAACTATGTACCTCATATGACTCATGTCTTCTGCATCCTTTCTATGATTCAAATAGAACCAAGATATGAATTTAATACATACACTTTCTCCTGAAATGTAACTAATATGATTTAAAGTGTATCACTCTGAAAATTATTTACATGAATTTAGTTTATATGAATTCAGGTTTGTTAAGGACATTAAAATTGAAAGCAAACCTCCAAAGAGTTGTCTCTTTCTCTTTTCCTAAGTGCTATGTCTGAAATCATTTGCTCTTTTAATAATAAAGTTTTAAAATTGAAGGAATGTGCCTATGAAAGGTTATTAGATTTTAAATCACTCATAGAAGGTCAAAACTAACTGGATTTTAAATTTTTGTTGAATTGTCAGAGAAGAGTTTTACACCTAGTTTTAAATTAAAAATTTTAAATTAAAAAAAAATTTTAAATTAAATTAGTATGTGAAAATGAAAACATAGAAACAAGTTCAGGATTATTACCTATCTAGATTTTTTACTTCAAAATAATTTTAAATATACAGAAATGTTGCAAAGATAATATAGAGAGTCCCATGTGCCTTCACACAATTTCCCCCATTGTTAACAATTCACATGACCACAGCAAATTTGTCACAACTAAGAAATCAACCCTGGTGTATTCCTAGTAACTAAATTCCCGACTTTATGTGGATTTCATTAGCTTTTCCATGAATGCTTTTATTTCTGTTACTGGATCCAATTCAGGATACCACATGACATTTAACCTAGAATTACTTTTAAAACTAGGGGAAATAGGTCATGCAATCTGCATGGCATTTTGAAAGCTACACACAATTCCCATGTGAGATTTAAAGGAGTTGCTGAATATGGGACATTGATAAAGTCTGGATTTCTGCAGCATGGTATTGACACCCCTGCCTTTCTTTCTGAAATCTACCTCTTCAACTCAGATGAATACCTAGAAACTTGTTAGTGTTAGAAGTGAAAATTAGGGCTTCCCTGGTGGCGCAGGCTGTTGAGCGCAGTGCTGTGAAGCTGTCCGCAGCCCCTGCAGCGCGGGTTTGATCCCAACCAGGGAGATACCCACATGGTGCGGCATACCTCTCCTATCTTGCACGCTACTCCCCTCAGTAGTGTGTTTCGGTCAGTCTGCCTGTTCTGCTCCCCACTTTGTCTTGGTGAATCCTCTCACTCTCCTGCACATCTGTCCTGTACCCTAGTTCTTGCATGCATGAATAAATAAATCTTTAAAAAAAAAAAGATGTGAAAATTAGTTTTGCCCTTCTGCATACATTAGTTTGCGTAACTCTTGTGTTATGCTCCAGGGTGACAGGAAATAATGGTCAGTCTCCAAGCTGTTCAGTCACAGGATCCTCTGATGCTCTCCTGAAAGAGGAACTGTGTGGAGGCAGCTATTGCCGCAACCTGAGTAGGGGATTCCCCCACTCAGTAGGGGATTCCCTCTTCCTGTGTTTTGTGTATTGTCCCCTAAATAAGTGATTACCAAGTGAGTCTAGGCCAAGAGGAGTAGTAACTCCAGGCTTGATTTCTTCCCATCATGTATGTCATCAGATTTCCTCTCAGTGATACAGGTGTGAGAGGGTCTCTTGCAAGTTGTTTTCCAAACTAAAGCTTTTTAAATGTTATCACACATCTGAATCCCCTGGCAACTTGTTGAAGTGCAAATTCTGATTCAAGAGACTTAGGGAGGGGCTGAGATTATTTATTTCTATAGGCTCCCAATGTTGCTAATCCTTGAACCACAGTTTGAGTAGTGTCTAAAATAGTTTTAAGGATTTTTTTCCCCACAATTCTCAGAATATGGTTTTTACTTTAGGCAAAGATGGGAGTATATTTAAAAAAGGAATCTAGTGAAAAATGCCTGAAATATATTAGCTCTGGGCTGATACTAGAGTTTCCTTAGAGAGAATGAGGTTTGGTGAGAAGGTGAATATATTGTCAAGCTGTTCTGGTTTGAATCCCACAGGCCTGATGTACTCAAAAGATAATCAGTTTATACAACGACTCAAAGAACTGCAGGCTTCAGCTGCTGTAGAGAAGATTCCCTTGATTCCCTCCACCCCAGAAGAGATGAGTGAAATGCTCCAACTCTGCTCCTATGTCCGCTTCAAGGTGCCCCAGCAGGTAATGTGATCACAGCAGCAGTATGCCTGCCCTCTGCCAAAGGCTCAGCTGACAAGTACAGCTTTCCCTCCTTCCTGTACTAATTATCTAATGGTGAATTCAGCAAGGATCTGTACAGTGCCTGTGACAAATCAGGCACTGTGCTGGCCACAGTGATTAATAAAAAGAGAAAGCCCCTTGGCTGACACAGACCAGTAGGGGTGGTGGACAAAGTAACAAGTAAACAAAGAATTATAAATTATAATAAATTTTATAGAGGAAATGAAGATAGTACAATGATTGAAAACAGGGACGCAGGGGAGGTTTGGTAAACTTCCTTAAGGGAACAGGACATGGAGAGGGAGAAGAGCAGGGCAAGCCCAAGGCGCTAGAGAGGAGGCCAGGGTGACTAGTGCGCAGAGGTGAGGGAGAGAGTGGATTGAGATGAGGTTGAAAAGGAATGATGGATGGATGCAAAATGGACAGATGCATGGGTGCAGAGTAGATAACAGAATAAAGCAAATCTCTGATGCGGAGCACTGGGTATCGGGCAACTTCCCACTGGTTTCCTCTCTGGGCTTCTACTAATCAGATTCTAGTCATGCTCCAGAGAGTTGGTTTAGTTCAAAGCAGTTATGGCTGATCTTCCCAATTCAGTCAGTACACAGGAGTCCTGAGAGACTCTTACCGGGTAGATGAGAGAACGCACAGCAGCTAATGTGAACCATGTATGCTACTTTGAGAATCCTGAGGCAGGAGGAAAATCCTGAGGAGAATCCTGAGGCAGGAGAGCTGTGTTCCTTCTGGCCAAGGCACCTCTCTGCATCAGTATCCCAGGTCCACTTCCAGCCTGTCTACATTTGCTGCAGCTTTGCCAGCCCTCACCAGGGAAGGCAAAGACAGTGTCAAATAATAAACAGGGAACTATGGAACCCTTCCCAGAGGTCTCCCAGTGGTTGATGTCTTCATTAAGAGGCCCATTATCTCCAGCAGTTTAATTTTTTTAATAGATTTTGTTCTGTATTTAGATATGATGAGTAATTACTTGATGTTATTTTCATTCTGATTGTGTCTTTGGCTAAACAAAGGCTCTCTTAAGATAAAGTGGCTCTCAGGCCACCATCTTGGGTGTTTTTTTTTTTTTTTTTTTACATGCTATAGGGACCTTTGACTTTATGTACTCAAGTTCTTTCCTAATTACAAAGATCAAAGCCTTTCATGACCTTTACTCCCTATTATATTGCATACCACATATGGAAATTCAGAGCACCAGGCCCTAAAAACCTTGACAGTGCCATAACTTCTAGACTTTATCTCTGTCGTCGTACCAGTGCCATGCGAGGCCTGAAGAAACAAATCTCTTGCTTCCTGACTCTGTTATTTACACTTAGATCCTGCAAGGTCTTGTTGATGTCCGCATCCCGCACAACGACTTCTACCGCAAGTGTGAGTAGTCCTGCTTTCATTTAAGTTTTGAGCTTATGAAAAGTGAAGTTTATTTGTGACTGGATTTTGTTTCCTAAATTCCTGAGGCTTTGTTTTCTGGAGTCCCTCAAAAGAGAAAGTGGAGGCCTGGACTCGATGATGGTCCCCAGACTGTAATTATGTGGCACCCACAGGCACAGCCCAGCATTTACTCATTTTGTTTTCCTTTCCTGAAGTGTTTTTGGAAATCGTCAGTGAGAAGTCAAGATATGCCCTCCATGAGAACATGAACAAGATCAAGGTCCCGACACAGATCATCTGGGGGAAACAAGACCAGGTATGCCGTGTGACCCTGGGGTCGCCTGTGCCAGTCACACTAGCCTCTGAGGAAAACAAGGCATCCAACTCCCTGCTTGGTTTCCCACATCAGGAAGAGTCAGATGCTAGTGTTTATGGGGAGCATCATTCTATGAGTTCAGAGCAACAACTCTGGTCTCAGCAACCTCTGAAAGGCAATTTTTTGCACCTAAACACTACCTGAGTGAGCATCACTGTGCATGTGGTTTGTGAAATGTGAGAGGGGCTGAAGGGTGAAATCTTAGATATGAAATCCCTGGGTCAAAGGGTGGGTGCATTTTTAAATTTTAATAGATCTTATCAGATAGCTGTGTGTGGTTTGCTAGGGCTACTGTAACAGTACCACACTCGGTGACTTTAACAACAGAAATTGATCATCTCATGGTTCTAGAGGCTGGAAGTCAAGATCTAGGTGCCAGCACATTGGTTTCTTTCGGGAGCTATGACAGCACCTACTTCATGCCTCTCCTCTTGCTTCTGGTAGTTGCTGGCAATCTAGTGTTTCTTGGTTTGTAGATACATCACCTTGATCTCTGCCTTCCTCTTCACATGCCTTTCTCCCTATGCCTGTGTGTCTCTGTGTTTTAGTTTTATAACCATGTCTTCCCCCGCCCCTAGTTTTATTGAGATAAAACTGACATACAGCACTATATAAGTTTTCAGGAGTACAGCATGATTTCACATACATGTATTATAAAATGATTACCACAATAAGTTTAGTTAATATCTATCATCTATAGATATAAAAGAAAAAAAAATTTTTCCTTGTCATGAGCATTCTAAGATTTACTCTGAACAACTTTGATATATATTAAAAAGCAGTATTAACTATAGTCAACTGTTTTACTTCCTCTGAACTCATTATATCTGCAATGACCCTATTTCCAAAAAAAGTCATTTTTGAAGTTCAGGGGCCTAAGACTTCAAAATATGAATTTGGGTTTGGGGGGGCACAATCAACCTGTAACAGGTCCTCAATAGAGATACTTATTTGCATCCAGAGCTCCTTTTTTGTTTGCAACTAGTCTTTAGAAATAGTACAGTACTGAAAGTTCTTCCAAAGTTTAAAACAAGAGGCGGTAGTATGAAACGGAGCATTTAGAAGGCCCGCAGACAGAATTACAGTGTTTGTTAAAGGGTATCCAGGAGTCTTATGCTATTGAATATTGTGTGAAAAGGAAATCAGAGAAGCTGTCCCCATTAAGACAGTTCCTCTAAGGACCCTGAGGTGAAAGCCACCATTGTAAGCCTTACCTGAGTGACCCACACACCCTAACTGTGTTGTTGATGAACACATAGGCAGAAAGTCTGACTGGGACCGCAAAGGCCCACAACTGTGTGTGACAGCCCAAGAGAAGAGACTGGGGAGGAGAAGCCAGGCCTGTGTCCATGTTGTATGGGGACGGAGGAATGCTGGCGTCTGGATGCTGAATCATTGTGATCTCAAATCAGCCAGGTGTGGCCCAGGCTGCACAGCACAGGAACATGAGCTTAGAGAGGTGAAGGCCTCCAGTGTTCCCTTCTGCAGCAGCCAACACTCCAAAAGAGCTTTGTGTGTACCTGACTCAGGCCAGGTCACAGCGAGTCAGTCAATCAGAAATCAAGGGACAGAACAATCAAGTCTTTTTTCATTCTGAAAATCCCAAAAGTGATTGAGGTCTCTCAGACCCAACAGGGAGAGAGGCGAGTACCTGTCACCCTTTAGAGAGAGTGCAGAAGTGAGAGCACTGGCTTTGGAATCTGAAAGTCTGTGTCCCAGCCCTGCCTTTGCCTTTAACAACCTCTGACCTTGAGCAAGTCATTCATTTGCTCCATATTGCGGTTTCTCTTCTACTACTTGAGTGATTGTGAGACTCAAGTGAGGTAATATCTTAAGATGGTCTTTCTCCAGTTGTGAAAAAATAAATTAATTCTCACCCAGGCCCTTTGCCTCTGATAACTGGCCTCTGCCTGTGATGCAATTTCCTCCAGGACTCTGAAGTCCATTTTGTTCCGGAAACAAATTCCATGGGCCTACTGTAAATATCATCAGATCATTAATGTGTCCTGTACACTACTCTCAAGGCAAAGGCCAAACAGCAGATATTTTGGGAGCTCCTTATTTCATGATCTTTTGCTTTCCAAACTGTTTTGACTTTTGTCCTGCATTGTCATCATTATTTGGTAACACAGACCCAACCCTGCCAGGCTGAATTCAGCCTCCTTTTGACCCTGTGACTGTACTGCATAACTGTAAGGGGAACGTTGTGCATTGTTGTCCTGTCTGTGTGAACACTGTCCACTGGATTTGAGCAGTACACAACCTGTAGAACTGAAACTGGCAGTCATTCCTGAGAAGTGCACATCAGCTCAAAAGAGCTCCACTCTTTAGTCCACCAGAGGAGGAAGGACTTTGGGAGATATATAGTCTATATATTCTTTCTGTCCCTTCTTGCCAGCACAGTACCTGGTATGCAGGAGACCCAGAGTGAGTGAGCAAGTAAGAAAGTAAAGTGAAACTGCTAACTAGGGAAGGAGACCAATCTACCAACTGTTTGCACATTTAAGCCAGCTGCTGGCTTAAATGTGCAAACAGTTGGTAGATTGGTCTCCTTTGAGATATATATATATATATATATATATATATATATATATATATATATATATGACACTGTATTAGGCCCTCAAGATACAGTAGCAACCAAGATAGACAGGCTCATGCCCTTCAGCAGCTGATCTCCCACCTACCACTATAGCATCTGGCAGGGCTGGAAGCTGGGTGAGATGTGCATGTCAGTACAGAGTCAGATCTTGACCTATTTATAATTTTGACAGTTCGTTCATTACAGATCTTTCGCATTGGTGTTTATTTTGTTTATTTTTTTATATTATTATTTTTTTAATTTTAATTTTATTTTTATATTCCCCATACAATTGCAACCCCCTATTTTGACCCCAATCCCTTCTTCCCCTGACCCTCACCCCATAGAGTGTCTCTGATTCATAGTTGTTTGTTGATTTTGATTTTTACTTTCTTATAGTTATTCTTTTCCCTGGTCTCTTATTTAAGTTTTCTAGATTCCTGCTATGAGTGAGACCATCCGGTATTTTTCTTTTTCTTTCTGGCTTATTTCGCTGAGCATCATCCCTTCCAGCGCCATCCATGTTGCTGCAAATTGCATGTGTTTATCTTTTTTGAATGCTGAGTAATATTCCATGGTATATATGTACCACATCTTCTTGATCCAGTCATCTATTTTTGGGCATTTGGGTTGTTTCCAAAGCTTAGCTATTGTAAACAGTGCTGCTATAAACATAGGGGTGCAGGTGCTCTTTGGAATTGATGTTTCTGTGTCCTTTGGGTAAATACCTAGGAGTGGAATTGCTGGATCATATGGAAGCTCTATGTTTAGTAGGTCAAGAAATCTCCACACAGCTCTCCACAGTGGTTGGACCAGTTTGCACTCCCACCAACAGTGCAGGAGAGTTCCCTTTTCTCCACAACCAAGGTGTTTATTTTTTTTTAAACACTATATACAAGTAGTATTCAGGTTGATTACTGAGCTTTTTAGAGCCTGCTTGAATTTTGTGCCCAAGGTCAGTGCTCCACTTCACAGACATACACCGGTAGTACGCCCCGCACAAGAAACAGCTGACATAGGTCCCACAGACATGTGTATCTCAGGGGAACCCCTCAGCTGTTCCATGGGCCTCTGGGTGACCTTGAGGAATGCTGGATTTGACCAGCATAAGAGTGTCAAAGTTAGAAGCTCAGGTAGGTGTTTTTGTCAATGCATGGTGATTTTTGACCTCTAAGAAGGATGGACACTCTATTGGGAGTTACCATGCTTTGACCTGTTGACTCCACCTGCACTTCCTCTGGGTATTTTTCCACAGAGCTGGATTTTATTTCTGCTCATTTACCACAGTAGCCTTAGCTGTGCATGAGTGATGAAGCAAAGAGGTCCCATTAGTCATCAGTGTTCCCCCCTTTCATTAGGCTTCCCAGTAATGTTCCCTCTCACGATCCACGGGTGCTCTGCATTTTTCCCCAAGTCCCACCTCTCCTTCCAGCTAGGTGGGAAATCTTGGTTTTGATGATCTGGGTAGATAAGAATAAAGCTTAAAAGCAGACAGCACTCTTTACAGTTTTATTTTTGCTGTTAACAATGGAGAGAAGGGGCACTCCTGTTATGATGAGCTGAAAGGGAAAGTGATTAAGAGAGGGGATTTGAATGCAAATCCAGTGCCAGAGAGGATGTTGGGGGGAAAATTAGGTCAAGTTGGCAGAACAGCAAGGTCATTCAGATGAACTTAAATGAGTTAGTTTTTAAAAAATCAGCTTTAGAAAAGTGGTAGCCTTTTTGTTGGAAAAGCATTCCTAGTTATTCACAGACTTCAGGACCTGTCTGGCAACCCTACCAGACCAGATCCCCTCAGTAATGCCGGCAGCTGCACAACTCCTGGTAGGCGGTCAGTTCCATCTGAAAGTCACAGGAATGACTTGGTCCTAAAATTCAGGCTGAGGTAGGAGTTTTGACCTGGGTGTCTGAATCTTTTCCATCTGTTGTTGTTTCCTTTTCTGTCCTTTAGGTGCTCGATGTGTCTGGTGCGGATACTTTGGCCGAGTCAATTGCCAACAGCCAGGTAGAACTTCTGGAAAACTGTGGGCACTCGGTGGTGATGGAGAGACCCAGGAAGACAGCCAAGCTCATCGTCGACTTCTTAGCTGCTGTGCACAACACAGACAACAACAAGAAGCTGGACTGAGGCCCTGACTGCACCTGCACTCTGCACACGCATCCTCTCCCACCCCCAAATCTGATGCAACCACCACTTCTCAGGGATCCTGCCCCAGATGCACCGGAGCGCCAGTGTCCCTGAGCAAATCAGTCCCCTCTCCCTGGTCTCGACAGAGCTTCAGGGGCCATGAGGAAATCTCCAAGATGTTTTTCACAAAATGCAAACTCACATGGAACAATATAAGAAAACCCAGCCATGAAATCTACCGAGAAGTCTTTAAGTTCATGTCGCAAAGCAGTCACCTTGGACCATAACCACCTTGGCCATTTTCTTTAAGACATGTGTCAAAGACTGAGACTCGAGTTATTTCTGTTGCTTTAGATGTTCTCCCCCGCATGGTCACTGGCTGTCTTAGGAACATTAGTTCCCTTTCACTGAGCCCATTCTGTTTATGTCTTATTTAAGTTTTACATAAGATAGATATGTGAATACAGTCCATCGCTGTAAGTACAGGAAGGAAACTAGCAAACTGGACAGTATTTACAGGCATGGAAGGGCGATGTTCCAGCCAGCCCTCAGAGCTACCAGAACAGCAGAGAACACAGGTGGGAGTTTGATCGGCCCCCACATGTCAGGTTTGTCTCCAGTGAATCCAGAACAGTCTCAGTATAAAGAACACCTGGCAGGGGGAGTTTCCTGGGAATAATTTATTATTTTTAACAATAAGACCAATAAAGCAATAACATTCTAGAAAGCTATCTAATATCAGACCCGGGCTCCTTGCTCAAGCACCTTGTGGGCCTCTTTTCTATTTTGCTGTGCTACTGAAAACCCTTGGATGTAAAATACTAGCTTGTTAATGAATTCTGTGAATTCTGTGAACAGTAATGTGATTGAAAATAAGTCTAACAGCTGTAAAAGTGACCACAATATGACATGAAATAAATTCAGTAAGTCTAGATCAACAACATGCAGATGGTTTCTATTTCTAAGCTTCTAATTAAGTGCAATGTTGGCACATTTGTGTTTTTAAAAGTAATGCTTGTTTTACAGGCTAGGAAGAACTTGCTTGGATGAATTGTTAGCTTCATGTTTAGAAATTATGTATTAGTTTATATTCAATTGAAATTGTATTTCAAAAACAAAAGGCAAAAATGACTCACCTGTTTCGTTTGCTGCTCTTCTCTTGGATCTACCTAGTCTCTGCAGTAGCTTTACTCTTTCAAATGTTTATAGTCTGTAGGCAAGGAGCTCTAGAAAAAAAAGTGAGATGAACTTTATAGTTTCCATCTTAGGAACCTAGAAAACAATAGTCAAACTTGAAAAAATGAGAGGAACTACCACAGATGGGAGAAAAAAAAAATCAATGAAATAGAAAACAGATGCTATTAGCCATGCTGCTGGTTCTAATCTCCTATATTTACCATTAACGCTGAGCTTAGTAGGTTCTGGGAGAGGAGGTCAGTCTTGGTGGGTTTCAGAGATGAGTTTCCTTAGGGTCACTGAAGATGCCCTGAACCTGCGTAAGTACCTCCAATTAGAACCCCTACTGGGTGCGGGAATTATTATGTCCTGCATTGAACAAAGTCTAAAGATCATCTCCAAACCTCCAAAGGAGTCTCCATGCCCATCCCCAGTAGGATCTTTCGGGCAGGGTGTACACTGGCCCTCCCCCCTGAAGGACCCATGATGGGGAAGCATCCACTGAATGTCATGAGCAGAGCATGTGAGTGTCGCTTTTGACAAATCTATAGAGTAGATTTTAATATTTATTTATATTCTTACATCTTTGTTAATTTTTGGATAGTATTTGATTTCTCCCTTCTGCCTTGCTTCTCCCACCACCATAGCACCAAGATCCCTCTCCTCCTTCCTTCCCTGCTGTTTGCCTCAGATCTATGGTCTGCTTGCAAGGTTTGGTTTTTTATCCCTGTCCCTTTAAAGTGGGTTTGCATGCCTCTCCTTTGGCCCTACACTTCTGGCCCCACTGTGCTAGGAAGAGAGGAAGACAAAAAGCACAGCTCCCCCTTGTGCTCACCTTTGTGATTGTGAAGAAGCTTCTAGTTACTGCCAGCTAACTGCCCTGTGTGCCACACCCCCCACTTCCCCCAGGGCCTTGTGGTGTGTGCCTTAATCACAGTCTTGAAAAGACTGTGAAAGACTGCCAGAAGCTTCTGAAACAACAATGGAAAGCTCCACAATCACAAGTGGGCTCTTGATCCCAATACCTGGAGTCAGGGCTGCTGAAGATGAACCCTCCCCGGCAGGTGTTAAAGAGGCTGAGGGACAAGCAATGGTTGGAACCCAGTTTACCATCAGCCTGGGCTTCTTGTCCCAGGCAGAGGTAACACTGGGAGTGACTGATGCAAGAAATGCATTAGTTTGGTGGTCCTGCTGGCTCTTCCACTGAAGCCTCGTGAGTACAGGGCCAGGGTGGTCATGATGGTCTTTTCCTGTTTCTGCTTATCTTGTAAGGACAGCAGGGCAGACTTGGGAGAGTGAAACGAGATTAAAAAAATAATAATAATAAAAAATACACCTTCCTGTTTTAAATGAGGGAAAGAATAGATTTTTCGTAAGTTGACAATTGTGTTTCAGAGAGCAGGCCGGCCGAGAAAAGCGTTTGCTGTCCTCAAGATGACCTCTCATTGCCCAGACAGAAAAATTAGCCATGGAATTAAGACAGAAGTTCACTCCTCACACATATAGGTAGGGACTATATCATATTCAGCAGTAGTAACTACATAAGATTCAGGCTATCATCCCTTTGCCACTTCAAGAAATTAGAGGATGAAGGATCTCTCAGGGAGAATGAGACAGGAAGGGTACAGACAAAGGCAGAGGGACAGGACTCAAGGACAGAGATTTGCTATTCCTATTATTTACATTCAGCTGGTAAATAATAAGGTTAAATAAATCTGACTCTAGGCCAGAAACCTGCTGCCATAAATTTCCTTTATTCATAGTGCTTTTTTGTACAGAAGGCTTCAACTACCCCATATTATGGAAAGGCTGACATCTCTGAGTGGGGAAGGAGGCAAACTGCGGCCTTTCCTGCCTACCCAGCACCTCTGGGAAAATGTCTGCATGTTCTAAGACAAGATAATCCAGTCCCTACTTGTTCAAACTCCCTCTATTTTGGTTAACCTTTGGGTCCTGTTATGATTCAAAAATCTTGCTAAAGAAAAAAAAATACAGTCAGAACCAGTTCAGGACTTCATCTGTGAGCCCCATGTTAAATAATAGGGTTCAGATGAGATACTGGGGTTCAGATGACTGGGATCTTTAGGTTACCTCTGAGGAAAGTTTTGGCAGGGTTCCCGTTTGAGTGGCACACAGCAAATTTGCATGGAGATGAAGATGTATTAGGAAAAAGGGCAGGTGTATTAGAAAAAAGGGAAGAAGATGTTTCCACAGACACAAGCAGTGAGAAACAGCTGCCTTTGAAAGGGGTGGGTTTCTTAAAAGAAACACCTGTGCAGACATAGGTAGGCAGTCTTGGGATGAGAGCTGCATTTTGCCAGGGCAGGAGTTACTTTGATATAGTGTTCCTTTTGGGGGTAAGGGTTTATTCCTTTGTGGTATTGTTAAATCAATCACTTCTAGGGTGTAAATGAATTAATTCGTAAGGACCCGTGAATCTCTGTAATGGCCCTCAACCTCCATATCCAACCTCTGGTCGAAGACTATACACCTATGGGTATTTTCTAGAGCAGTTCTTTGTAATGACTGATTGTGGGGTAAAGAAAATGTCAGGCTTTTCTGCCCTTCCGCCATCAGGATAGATGATGGATCCCTGTGGTCCCGAATGCATGCCTGATGGTGTGCACCTGGAATAGGGTGTGGGCATAGGTAGATGGGATTCAGCTGAGCTAAGACTGTGCTTTTTAAGGGCGGCATCACGGGGACGCCAGCAGCAGCAGCAGAAGCCAAAGCAGAAGTCGAAAGAGAATCCGAGAAACAGCAGAACGAACTCCAGAGAGCCCAGATAGAGTGAAGACTTGCTGGGGGCTGGGAGGCCTGTCAGCCTCCTGGCCCCCCAGCATCCCTGCCTGCCATATGCCTGGTGAACCCCAATAAAAACCCTGCAAAAAAACCAGAGGACTCTGACTCCTCCTTTACCCGGTCTGCATGGGATCAGAAAACCTGCACTGTGGCCATTCCTGCCTTTACACCGATAATTCCTTTATCTCCATCTCTGGGCCAGGATTAAGGATTTTTCATTTTTATAGTTGGTTTAATGATAATGTTGATAATTTCTACCCCCACCTCCAATTTCTGGTCTTGTGATGCCTCTATCCTAAATTTCCCACGTTAAGCCTCCACCAACCGGGGAGGTTCGCCGCCAGGTTTCGCCTAGCGTCCGCCGCAGCCTCCTGGGCTGGCGCTCAGTGAACACACACACATACAAACACACACACACTCTCTCTCATTTTATATATACATGTATAAATATAATCAGAAGCTGAAATGTATGTCAGAAGTCCACCAACTAGGTCTTTCTCATTTAAAAGTCTCTTTAATCCTCAATTCTGAACAAGAGAACACTGAGAATTCAAGCAATTGTAAGGCACTCCAATTTCAGTTTGGTATTAGAAAGTGAAAAAGTTTCCAAGTTCTTTTATGTCCAAAACTGAGCTACTCAGTTTTTTCTGGTAGGATGGGTTTACCAGAAGATTGGTTTAGGACATTTTCTCCCATTATGTGGGTGTTATCTGATAATATTAAAAGCTATCTTTGGATTATATGAGTTCCGTGAGATAAGCTGTGGTTTCTGCATGGTGTCTGGCACAAAGTGAGCATCTGCTAAATATTGGCTGTTATTAAAAACCATATATATCTCGTGAGTATAGGTGGTGTCCCCCACTGAGTTCCCAGTACCTAGTAAAAAACGGGAGCTCGGCAAGGACTTATTGAGTAAATGCATGGATGAAACCTGGTTTACATTTGGAAACGGGATCAACTGAATCTTTTCACGTCAACCCAGACAGAACACCTACTCTGTGATGGCACCAGAAGGGACATTGAGAACTGTCCTTCCCGAGTGCCTGACTTACAAGATGCTCAGCAGAAAGGGGTGTTAGGCATAAAGATGAATAATCAGACAAATGACTACGAAGCGAGCTTCCGGATCGAACAAACAGACCCGGCGCCCCATTCTCTATGCAGATATATTTGCATACACAGTTTTCTCCCGAGTGGGCACCAGGGAGCGCAGAGTTAACCCAGGCGTGAGTTCTGATGATTACGCCTGGGTCCTGAAGGGGACGCCGCGTGATTACGTCATATCCGTAGCAACGATCAAACATCCGGGGGCGGGACAGGCAGCAGCCAAATGTAAACACCCCCTCGAGTTTGCCGGCCTAGGCTCTGACCTCTGCTCGGCAGCGCCAAACCTTGGTGGGTGCTTGCGCGTAACAGGAGATAAGCGAGGCGTCGGGCTATTCGGGCGGAGAGCGGGTAAGTGAAAGCCCATGGAAGAGCGGCTGTTTTCCCGGAGCGGGCCCAGTCGCCGTGCTGGTGACGCATGGACGCGCGCGCCCGGTCTTGCGCTTGCGCACTGGGGAGCGGCGGCTGGCAGCGCGGCGCGACGCGGCCTAAATCACCCCGAGCTCCAGCGCGGGAGGCTGCCGCGGACGCCAGGGGAAACCTGGCGGCGAACCTCCCCGGTCGGTAGACAACACGACTTCTGGTCTCGGTTTCCTAGAGTGGCTGTGAAGACTACGGGCACAGAGGTGCAGAGCGAATGGTTGGTGCCGAGTAAATGGCGGAGGTTAGTTGAAAATTGACTACTTGATCTGAGAGTAGGGGGTTGAGTTTTATTTTTGTTTTTTAAATCGAGATTTAGCCCGCGGATTATATATTGAATGCATGTTGTGTGCATGACAGTCTTTTACGTCTTGGGAAACTGCGATGAACAAGACAGATTCGCGTTTCTCGTGGAGCATTCGGTCTTTTGGGGCAGGGGAGTGAAGCACAAGTTCGATCCCTGCCGGCCAGGGAGCTACCCACATGGCACAGCAGGCCTCTCTTGTCTCGCCCGCTGCTCCCCTCAGCAGTGTATTTCAGTGGATCTGCCTGTTCTGTTCCCCACTCTGCCTCTGGTGAATCCTCTCACCCACCACACCTCTTACCTGTACCCCAGCTCTTGTATGCATAAATAAATCTTTTAAAAAAAGAGTAAATTACATGCATGTGTTACACGGCGCGAATTGCTATGAGGGGAAAGTAGGGCAGGGACAGGGACGTGGAAGGGAGGTGTTGTGATCGTTTAGCCCATGGACCAAATCGAGAGGTGAGATTTGAGCAGATGTCCTAAGGAGTTCAGGGACTCAGCCGGGAGCATTCTCAGCTCGTGGAAAAAGTAGAGGTGAGGTCTAGAGGCTGGAGGGAAACTGGTGTGTGAGGAAGTCCTACTAGACCCGTGTGGTAGAGGGGATTGAGCAGAGATGTAGGACTTGAGGTGAGAGTGGTGGAGAAAGCAACAGCATAGGTAGGGCTTTTTCTGTCAACTTTAAGAAATTTGTTTTTGCTCTGAGTGAAATGGAAGATACAAGGTTTCGAACAGAAAAATATTGAGGCTGGAGTAGGTTTTAATAAGCTCACTGTGCTGATGTAGAGACTAGATTTGGAAGGGAGCTGGTGGAAGCAAGGGTACCTCTTTCCCAGTGTTCTCTCAAAAGTGGGAATATTTTTTATTTCATAAGATCACTTTGAAGTCCTGTGACCGTAAGGCATGTGACGCATCTAGCACAGAGCTCACTACTTGGTAAGGGAAAGTGTTAGGTGGGAGATGTTAATAGAAGTAAGAGTACAATGGCTTAAAAAAAAAAAAAAAAGAGTACAATGGCTTGGCATATGTAAAATATAGAAACTTCCTTTGTGTCTATGTGTGTAAAACTTTAGTTTGACCGGGATTCGATGAATAACTGTACTAGGAGGTCTTTAAAACTCAAATAGGTCCATTCTTATTTAAAAAATGTGAAATTGCTCTCATCTTGATAATTCCTAGTCCTCTTCATAATTACCATAGGTGTGATCAGCGTTGGAGAAGATGCCAGCTCCAGGTACCACATATGAAAGAGTAGTTTACAAAAATCCCTCTGAACACTACTACCTGAAAGTCTGTCTGTAAGTTCAGTCTCCTGTTCTAGTTTAAATTGCTTTCTTATGACTCTGGGTAGCATCAAATTTAAGAAAATGTGTTTTTTCTCTAATTTTTTTAACAGAGAATTTCAGGAGCGTGGAGTTGTACTGAATGCCGCACAGTTCAAACAACTGCTTATTTCAGCCCTGAAGGACCTGTTTGGAGAGGTATGGAATAATTTGGAAGATTGAATACTCCTAAGATGTTCAAACTCTACAATTGTATTTGAAATTACAGGGGCAGACCTTCTAAGTGAATTTTTGGTAGGTTCTCAAATGCCTTCTGTTTGACAAGGAAATTGCTAAACAAACATTTGTTCTACTATAGTATGGTCTAGACTGGTAACCCACAAACTGCTTTTTTGCCAATTGTGAAGATTTCTGGTTTGTCAGAACGTAAATCAGCACACCTTTTCCCTTACTGAGAAGGCCTATAAAAAACACAATAGCTGAACTAAACAGTGTGCCTAGTGATATTGCTGATTTACATTCTGATGAAGTTCCTTATCTTGAGTACTTCTGTTTTAACATTCACTTGAAAGCAATTAGAAATTTGAGATGGAACACAGACAGAAGATTTTCAGGAAATTATTATCTGATTCATACATTCTGTCAAATCAAAATCTGCTAAGCACCTCATCAAAATTAAAAATTTTTATGCCTCAGGAGACTTGGTTAAGAATATAAAAAAACAAGAGTTACTGGGAGAAAATACTTCCTAAAAACATATATCTGACTAACAACTAATACCTACACTATAGGAAGAACTCTAAAAACTCAATAGTAAAAAGCCAAATAATCCAATTAGAAAATAGGCTAAAAAGGGCCTCCCTGGTGGCCTGGGCTTAAGTCTCAGCGCTATCACTGTGACAGCCTGATTTTGATCCCAGGCCAGGGAGTTAACCCTCATGGCATAGCAGACCTCTTCTATTTTGCCTGCTGCTCACCTCTGCAGTGTATCTTAGTAGATCCCCCTGTTCTGCTACCCACTATCTCTTGTGAATCCTCTCACTGCCACACCTCTGACCTAGACCCCAGTTCTTGTATGCATAAATAAATAAATCTTTAAAAAAAAAAATTCACTTTCACAAAGTAACATACTTGGTAAAATTCCATTAATCTTGAAATAACGTAATTATACTATCTGGAGAAACAGTGGTTGCCTAGGCTTAGGGATTAGAGAGTGGGGATGAGGGTAGCAATATAGAGGTAAAAGGGGAGCCTCGTGGTCATTCTTTAACTTAATTATGCTGATGATTACATAAAACTATTTAATAACAGTTACATGAAACTTATTTAATAAACTTGCACAGAACTATGTATATTAATATATACACAAAAATGAATGCATTTCTATTCAGTGACCTTGTTGATAATATACTATAGTTATGCAAGATGCTGACATTGGAGGAGGCTGGGTGAAGGGTACACGGTGTCTCCCTGAACATTTGTTTGCAATCTCATGTAATTCTAATTTTTTTAAATGTTTAAGAAAAAAAATAATTGTGCACCTTCTTTATGTCAGGAATAAAACCTGGTTCCTGGGGTTATAACTGTAAATAGACAGAAATAGCCTCTGTCTCATAGTCTAATGGTCTTGGTTATTTTGGCAGGAATTATCTTATACAATGGTAAGAATGATGACCATTATGAAAAAGGACTTAATGGAGACCTTTACATGAAAGAGCAAAGCAAGTGATTGAGCCTAGTCTTGAGAATCAGAGAAAGAACAGTTTAAAGATTTGAAAAGTGAGGAAGCCTTAGCAATATGAAGAAATTATTGGAAGGGAGAATTATAAAGAAATTATAGTATAGGGGGAAAATTCCAGACAGGAGTAGTTAGCAATAAACAGTTCCAGTATGCTAAAAAAAAAAAAAAAGATAACACTTTTTTTGGGCCTCCCCTGTGGCGCAGCGGTTGAGTACTGGGTTGCAAAGCTGCCCGCAGTCTCTGCAGCGCCAGTTCGATCCCTGGCCACCGGGTGAGAGTCCCACATGGCGCACAGACCTCTCCTGCTGCCCGCTGCTCCCCTCAGCAGTGTACTTTGTCAGTCTGCCTGCTCTGCTCTCTGTTCTGGCTCTGGTGAATTCTCTCACCCTCCTGCGCTTCTGACTGTACCCAGTGCTTGTATAAATAAATAAATAAATCTTAAAAAAAAAAAAAGACAAAAATATGTAACTTAAAAAAAATGACACTTTTTGAAGGAGAAAAGCAGTTGACAGGATTAATTCTTAGGACTTAAGGGTGACGATAATAGTTTGCTAATAACATTATTCCATACTTAGGTTGATGCTGCCTTACCTTTGGATGTCCTAACCTATGAAGAGAAGACCTTGTCAGCCATCTTGAGAATATGTAGCAGGTATGAGATAGTGGAAATTTTCTGATATAACAGTAAAGGGATGACTAAAGAAATAGAGCAAAAATGTTCATTGCTGAGAATGAGAAGAGTTTTGTTATTGTGAACTCTAAGCAGCTTTTAGAAGCTGCTGGGGGAATATAAATATCCAGTAGGAGTTTATATTCTAGAGAGCAAAACTTGTGATTTGGCTAAAACTGTACCTTTTCTTAATTGATGATTATCGTTGCAAATTCAAATGGATGTTTTAGAAACATTCTTAATTGAGACTCATTTTATCTTTATGCTTTTACTGTTAATGCTTTTTAAGTTAGGGTATCTGGAAAAAACTTTCTGGACCATCACTAACAAAAGGTACTAGGGGCATGTTGCAAAAGCATATCTTTATTTATACTTGCTTGATCTTTCCTCAGTGGCCTTGTCAAATTGTGGAGCTCTTTGACCCTGTTAGGATCCTATAAAGGCAAGAAGTGTGCTTTCAGAGTAATTCAGGTAAAAAGTATTCCTTCACGAAATTCAGGTGATACTGGGTGGTGGGTAAAACTGCTTTTTAATATATGTCCCATTTTTGTGCTTGCATAAATCTAGGTTAATTAACATCATCTTGTGGGGTGGGAGGGCTTGGAACTTAGGACTTCATTGCTTACAATAGAACACTTAGATTTTAGATTGTATGGGAGATGTTTTGAGATAAAACTTGGAATCCTAATGGTAAAGTCTCTTAATTTTTTTCTTAATACCTTGTACCATACATATTGAAATGCTCTTTCTGAGTTTACTGGGATCACTTGTTTATCTAAGGCTACTGCTCAGGATGTTCTTTAAAATACTACTATGTCAGTCTAGGTTATCATATTAAACTGGGCATGTTTCTATATTGTCCTATGTTCCAATACAATTTTCTCCTTATATTCAATGTTAACTTTTCTTTTAGGTTTCTCCATTTCTCCTTGCATTGTCTGGTAATAGTAGGGAACTAGTATTGGATTGAGTAGTCTTCAATGTTAGAAACATTCTTCTACTTTTTGATGCCAACAAAATGTTTGAAGACTGAAGCAGGCTATCATCTCCTGTTGGTGGGATTTGGGGTTGCTAAAGATGTTCCCAGTAATTTCCAGCTATCATCTTTGGTGGTGTGGACTTCAGAGGAGAATCTGCCTGAACCAGCCAGGTCTAAGCAAGCAGCACTTTCAGCATGTGCACATCAGAGTTGGAGACCGGGCTGAACTCAGCAGGGCCTTCACACAGAGGGATGTGGTTACCTTCTCAGAATTAACGGGTGATGTCAACCCTTTGCATTTGAATGAAGATTTTGCAAAACATACGAAGTTTGGAAAGACAATTGTACATGGAGTGTTGATCAATGGACTTATTTCTGCTCTCCTTGGTACTAAAATGCCAGGACCGGGGTGTATATTTCTTTCCCAGGAAATTAACTTTCCAGCACCTTTATATACTGGAGAAGTTGTTTTAGCATCTGCAGAAGTGAAAAAGCTGAAGCGACTCATTGCTATTATTGCAGTGTCATGTTCTGTAATAGAAAGTCAAAAGACTGTTATGGAAGGCTGGGTTAAAGTTATGGTCCCAGAAACTCCAAAATCTTAAAGTATGTATCTAAAGATGCAAGTTCAGTCTTCAGTGTTACTGTTATTAACAGCTTGTGAGGAAAGCAAGGACTGCTGCTCTTTACAAAGAAATGACCAACAGGCCCAGAAGCCATGTTAGGGGAGGACAGTTGGTGGTGGGGTGTTCAAATATCCACTTTCCAATTTGGACCTCTGCTTAATATAGACTTGAGTATATTCATCATCTGTTTTCAAAATTGGAAGAAAAATTGGGAAGGTTATTTAGCTGAAGGTTATTTTAGGATTTGAAACCTAGTTGTGTTTGGATAACACAGACCTACCTGTGTCTCACTGAATTTATAACTAGCTAGCATTTAATTATTGAAGATGAGAGAAGTTGGGTCATCCTTGAATACCTACCTTTGAATACCTAGTAAATATTTTTAAATCCTGTTCAACAGTGTCTCTGTTAAAGTTTTTTCTAATTTGTTATGTTTACAACAAGATGGCTTCTTGCTCAATCTTCAGTGGCACTTGCCTGTCAAATGGATTTTCTGTTCTTGAAGAAGGATTTACAGATGGATTTGGACTCAGTTATATACTGTCATGTATAAAAACAGTAGCAGTAGCTACTATTTTCCATTCTCTCCTTTAAATAAGGCTAGAGATTTCCCTGACTTGAAAGCTAACTGGGCCACACTATACACAGATAAACACAGTATACACAGACCAGTCTTTCAAGATGTCAAGCTCTCTGTGTTGGAAATCTACACCAACATAATAGATCTTTAATGCAAAGTTTCTATTTTAGTGCACATTATTTTCTCCCTTTCTTGAAAATATTACGCAGTTCCCATTGCATAAATAATACATGCTTATTGTAAAAAAAAAAATAAAAGTACAAAACCATCATAGAGACTGGGTTTTTTGTGAGGGCTAAGGAAGAGGAAATATGAAATATATTCGTACTGAATGGTCATCTGCAGCAATTTTTTTTTTTAAGATTTATTTATTTATTTATTTATACAAGCACTGGGTACAGTCAGAAGCGCAGGAGGGTGAGAGAATTCACCAGAGCCAGAGCAGAGAGCAGAGCAGGCAGACTGACAAAGTACACTGCTGAGGGGAGCATCAGGCAGCAGGAGAGGTCTGTGCACCATGTGGGACCCTCCTGTGGCCAGGGAGCAAACCGGCGCTGCAGAGGCTGTGGGCAGCTTCGCAACCCAGCTCTCAACCACTGCGCCACCGCGAGGCCCATCTGCAGCATTTTTTAAGAGAAGGATCTATAATGGAACATACAGGTGGAAAAAGTTTTTTCCTCCTGCTAATAATCAGTAACGAGATTTTTTTTTTAAGCTAGAAGTGTATTGGTTAAGGAATTTTTCTAGTCACTAGAGGGCAGTGATGCATATATAGTGAGGATTAAAAAACTAATGTATTTCATACTCATTTATGAAGGTGGAAATACCAAAATCACTATCAGGAGCAAGGATACTTTATTCTCATGAGTCAGATCCACCTGAAGAGAGCTTATTTATATGTAAAACATTACACGTGCTGAAAATTTGATGTAACATTGAAAGAAAAAATGGGCAGCTTGAGGTACAAATAAGAACTTGAAGCTAACATTTCCTATGCCTGCAAAACTCATCCCTGGGACTTAGTGGCAGTCTTGAAGTACAGGTCCAAAAATACAGTGATGTTATCACTAGTATTTATCACAAGCTAATTTTCTGTATTTTTGAAACAACTTGTGAGGTTCATATCCCTTTTTTATAGGCAAGAAAACAGACTAATACTATGTGATCTACCCAAGGTTGTACAGCTAGTGTGTGGTAGAAGTGGGATTTAAACTGGGAGCCTGCCTGTCTCCAAAGCCCTTTTTCTATCATTCTGTGGGTCTATAGTGTTCTCATTAGAGTAGTCTTGATCTTACTCCCTATTCTAGTTGTAGCAATTTCCTATATAGTATTTTTTGGTGGCTTCCACACATAACTTGTTGCCTCCTGTTTTTTGTGAGGACATCCAGCAAAAGGTTATTCTGAAAGTGAAGTGTGGCAATCCAATATGGTGGGGAAATAAGGAATGTCAGATCTGGCTTACTACTGCTGTCTAAATACAATTTCCCTTTTTTTTTTTAAGTGCTCTGCACGTGTCATAGCTTTCTTTGGTATCTGTAAATCATTGCAAAGTCAGAATAGAGAAGTAGAAAGTAGGCAACAAGTTAGGGATACTGCTCTGTAAATGATGATTTGTCACTTTTATTTAAAGCCAAGAGTTTCACATCACTCATACTATGTAAAAGCCAGCTATAAGGAAAGCCTATTGCCTTGCGTTTTCGTTTTGAGTCCTGTGTGAATTGTTAGAAAGAATGACTCTTTTCTAATTAAAATGTAAATGACCTTCAGATGAGGAAATCTCTTCCAGATAATTGAGAGGTGGTGAACTTGATTGTACCAGGTCACATGTCAGTACAAAAGCACTGACTAAAACAGGCAAATTGTACTAGCACTTTCCACATAGGGGCATTGTAAGCCTGCAAATTATGCGAAGTCTCATTATCATGGAAAGACATACCCATCTTAAGCAATTTCAACCTAATGTACTGGAAAATTGCTTAACAAATTTTTATATTCTATTAGAAACATTTCTATATTGGTGAAATGTCACCCATTTTTCTGAGCAGCAAATCTTGAGTAGCAAACAGAGAAAGCCTCACCACAGACACCATTTGTCTTGTTTATTCATCTAGAAAAAGGGATTGCTAAATGTACACCAGTACCTTTTAGGTAACCACAGGTTTTCACTTTGTACTGAATTATTAGTCATTTTTCTTTTATGTTCCTGGAGTATGATTCAGAGACCAATTTGCTCCCAAAGAAAATTGCTATTAAATTACATCTATTAAGGTTTTATATTAAAACATACTCTACTAAGAGTTGACTGTCACTGAGCAGCTGTGTCACTCTGAATGCCACATGTGTTGGCATAACTTATTAACTAGCTCTGTCTGGGAAGAATAGGAGTGTTGTAGAATTACTCTTGGGCTACGCATAAGTATCTCCAGGATTCCAGATGTTTTATTTTGTTCTGAGCTTGTCTTCATTTGGATTACAAACACTGCAGAGATAAGAATTCTCAGAGAAATTATGGGTTGGAACAAGATCGCTAGCAGAAGACATTTAAGTTCAAAATCATTAGAAACCCAAGACTTAATCTTGGTAATACTTCTAGAACAGGATTAGTAGAGGGCCCCACTTCAATTTGTAGGCCACAATTTCTAGGGTGGCTTTTAAATACAATCCAGTTCAAATGACCTCTGTATAAACCCTGGGCAAAATTCCTCTGTAGTGTGGAAAATATTAACAGGTCAAGGAAATAAGTATGAGTTGAATTTTTGTTTTATATCCAGATCATGAATATTTAAAGAAAATCATTTTAAGTTGGGAGGTGATAGTGCTTAGGAACCACTGTTGTTCACGAGCTTCAGTGATTTGATTTGTAGAACATTTGCCAGGTCCGGAAATATCCTCACTAAAACTCATTCTTTTCAGTCAGTCTGGCCAAATGTCAAGTTGTTAGATAAACAACCTGTGGGCCATCTAAACATTTGGCAACAATGAAGAGTATAAATCTTTTCCCCCTTGCTAGCACTGAGTAGTTGTATATGTGGCAAAAACTACGGGACTGCATTCTTCATGAGCTTTACCGAGCCTGAGACAGAAAGCAAAGCTGATTTGGTTCAGATCAGCTCTGCTCTGGGGGCGGGTTTCCCCACATTTAGCATGAGCCATTCCAAAACCAAATGGATGTGGAGGGCTATATACCCCTCAAAGGTATATAGGGGCCCAGTTAAGTCCAGGATCTTCAGAGGATCACTGACAAGGCACTAATTTGGGTAGAAAATAAAATCATAAGGCTTACCATATTGTTATATTCTGAGGGGCTTCTGGCAAAATTTCCAGAGAAAGGGAGAAATTAGATTAAGGGTTATTTACTGGAATCATTCCATCAAATATCTGATTTCTCATTTTTCCATTTCCCTTGTCAAGAACATTATACAAAGGTGTTCTTTTTTGACCCGGGCAACTCAGTTGTATGACTTTTTTCTAAACATGCAAGTGAAATATTTTCGTGAGACATTTTTAAAAATCAGAAAATCATAAAAATGCAAAGAATCATCCTACTTCCTAGAGAACACATTTTTAATATTTGGTGGTCCCTTTTGGTGTTTTTCTTGTAAATAAAACATGGGCCCATATAAGTGCATACATTTTCTTTCATTTATTAGCATATCATGAGCAATTCCCAACATCAGTAAATATTCTTTGATAATCTGCTTTTTAATCACTGCAAAATATTCTAATGATTGTACCATGATTTGTCCAACCCCTTATTGTTAGCTATTTATCTTTGTGCGTTATATATTTGCACTAATCTCTAATTACTTCCTTGTGTTATAGGACAGGGAGAGGGGCAGCCCAAACCCCGCAAACCTGCCTATTCTAAATGGGTTCTGCCATCCGCCGCATCAACACAAAACATGAGACTTTAATGGGAAGGAACTTTAATACAATTAGGAAACAATACAGGAAAGGCAAAGAATCTAGTTTCTAAATGAAGCACCCAAAGTTACCCATCCCCTCGTGGGTAAAACTCCATCCATATGGGATCGGCCCAGAACAAGGCCCCAAAGCCTGCCACAAGTCTAAAGCATCTTCCAGTTGGGACCCACAGAAAAGGGTCAGAAACAACCAGACAAGCCTGGAAGAAAAAGAGCAAAATCAACATCAAGATAAAAGCTGCCATGGTCACCTCCCCACGGGTCTCACCCACATTTGTGTCACCCAGTCCACGACCAAAAGACAAGCGCAGTTTCTTCACGTGTCTCTAGGCTCCAGGAGCCTCCTCCAGGTCTCCTGGCTCCATCCTGCTCCTTCCTCAGTCTCTTCTGCAGCTTCTTCTCTCCCTGCTCAGCTTCACCCTCCCTTGGGTGGGGCAGGGAACCTCCCCCTTTCCTGGGGACCACCCTGTTACAATTGGTATATCCTCCTGGAGGTGGAATTACCAGGTAAGAACATTTTCAGAGCCCTTGATCTGTACAGTATTGTCAAATCCCAGTTCCTAGTTTACATGGTAAGTACTCAGTAAATAATTGGTAAATGAATAAAATGCCTTTTGGAGAGGTTGGGCCAATTTATACTCCTACCAGCAGTACATGAGAATAGCCTTGTCTTGGTCAGTAAGCATCAGACAGAAGTAATGATTAAAGAAGAATTTTGATTTCTGTGAGTCTGTCAATAAAATAACCCATTTGCTTTGAGGAAACGGAAGTAAAAAGTTGAATCTTCCATCTGACACATGGTTTTGTTTTAAACATACTGGGACACAGTGAAACGCAGGAAGAGTTTTAATTGTTTTAGCACCAACTCATGAAGTTCCATGTTTCCTTCTTCATGTTTCTCTCCATTGGGTCTTGGTCCCTAAGTCAGTTTGTCATGACTACTTGGCCCCTTGGGGTTACCCACAATCCATTAAACTTAAGATCTGCAGAGGTTACCCTTTAGAGTGCAATTTAGATGTCAAATTTTGGTGGTGTTGATGCTGTCACCAGAAAACTTGCCTGAAATATAGAAATTTAGGGGTGATAAATTTATGAGTTAAAAACCTGGCGTTCTCAGAAGTAAGAGGAAGAAAGCAACGGATAATGTTTGTGAAAGATTCGGCACGGTAAAGAAAAGGAGAACCAGGCTACATTTCTCAAAGGGAGGGAAAGTTTATTGCTCCCCGGGCGGACCTCACACACCCAAGGTGGGGGTCATGAAGCCACGCACTTTGTTAGGGGGAAAGCAGGGTTTTATAGGGTAAGGAGGGGTCAGGTGGGAAGTTGGGCTCTGACGGCGGGAAAAGTTTGTAGGCGGGAAAAGTTTGTAGGGCGCGAAAAGGTTCCTGGGGCAGGTAGAGGTTCTTTGTCTGAGAAGAGACTGTAGGGGGTGGGGGGAGGCTCACTGCCTGAATCCTCCTGGCAGGTATCCGCATTCCTGCCCCCCAGGTGGGCTTCCTGGTTGGCTTCTGCATTCCAGCCTCCTGCATGGACCTTTCAGTTTGTGTCCATACAGGTATTGTTTCCATTTGGAGATAGGGAATTGGGGCTCAGAGAGGTTGGTCACACACATCTGGTAAGACCCAGAGTCTTGGAGATCAAGGTCATCTAATTTCAAGTCTAACTCCACCATCCTTAGAATGCAATATCTCTGTGATTTCTGTGTGTGTGTGTGTGTGTGTGTGTGTGTGTGTGTGTGTGTGTGTGTGTGAGATTTGGTACAGATGGTGTTGTTATAGAGCAGCCCCGATATTGAACGGGTTCCTGGCTGTGGGTCCTCACCCGCGTGCTTAAAAGGGACTTATTAATACTCCACTACAGGCACACACAAAAGGTTAATAAAAGGTTTATTTACAAGGGAAAAGGAAATAAGGAAAATGTACAACTCAGGGAGAAAATAGGGAAATAAAGTCTTTAATGCGTCCTACCCGATCCGCTGACCTGGAAACCCAAAGTCACTCTCAGAACTGGCCAGATGCTGCTAGCTGGTGGAGAGCCAAAATGGGGGACCCCCCCCAAAGCCCACGTGTCTGCCTTTTATATCAGCCTGGCTGCTTAACCCCACCCTCAGTTCCCAGCTACCTTCCCTTTCGTGGGGATGGGATTTGGAGTTCCCAGTGTCTTTGGCTTTGGCCTGGGGTGGGGGTGGAGTCCACAAAGCCTGTATGGAATTAGCTTTAGGACATCCTTTTCCCCCTAACAGTGTCAGAATGATGGTCTTTGGTTCTGGCTGACTGTGGGCAAATTTGGAGCTGAGGAATCGATCCACAAAATTCTCTGGGTTTATGGCTCTTGGGGCCCACAGTGGGCCCTAAGACTCCAAGTCTGAGGGATCTTGGTGAAGGATTCATGGGGTTGAAGGCATTGTGTTGAACTAAGATCTGGGGTCACTTTTTAGGGTTCAGAGTTCTAAGAGCTTGGGTCTGAGAGTTCTGGGCTTCAAGAATGGGGCCTAGTTCTGAGTGCTCAGTTCTTAGGTTCTTGGGTCTGAAGAGCCAAGTTCAAGGGACTTGTAAATGGAATCTGGGGTGGGGGTGGGGGCAATTTTAAAAAGTTTCTGGGACTGTAGGGTGCAGACCAAGGATCCTCTCTTGAAGTTTTATGGGTCTTAAGGACCTTGGGCCTGGGAGGCCAGGGTGGGGACGCTGCAGTTGTAAAGATCGAAGTTTGCCAGACCAGGCTTTTGAGGGCCTCATGTGAGAAGCCCCAAACTGAGAGGACTGCTGTGGGATTCTCTGGGCCTGCGGGATCCTGAATGGCAGCAGGCCCAGGACGTGGTGTCTTCGGATAGGAGAATCTTGGGAGGAACTGTGGGGTGGGGTGCCGCGTCTGAGGCCCGGCGTTATGGGGACCGCTTGGGGGCGACCCCGGGGCCTGGGCCAGGGCGGCGGCGGGCGCGCGCTAGGACCCGCGGGAGGCGGCGGCGCGGGCGGCGGCGCTAGGACCCGAGGGGCGGGCGGGCGGCGGCGGCGCGGGGCGGCGCGTGTTGACAGCGGCGCGGCCGCGGAGCCGGGCGGGCGGCGGGAGTCGGCGCCTCTGGTTCCTGTCCCGGGTCCCGAGGCGCTGGCGGGCGGGCGTCCCGGGATGGCCTTCATGGAGAAGCTGCCGGCCGGCAAGGTGCTGCTGGACGACACGGTGCCGCTGACAGCCGCCATCGAGGCGAGCCAGAGCCTGCAGTCCCACACGGTGCGCGGCCCGGCGGGCGGGCGGGCGGCCCCGGGCCGCGGAGGGGCAGCGGGTGGTCGGTGCGGGCGGTCAGCGCTGCCCCGGCGGGAACCCGGGCGGGGGGTGTCGGCGCCGCCGGGAGGACTCTGGGGTGGCGGTGGTTCTGGGTCGGGGCCCCGGGGCCCAGGCGAACGCCGCGGTCCGGAGGGGTCCGGGTGGGAACCGCAGCCCCCGAAACGGGAGAGGTGGTCAGCGGCCGCCCGGAGCGAGGCTCGGAGCGACTCGGCGGCATCCTGGAAAGCAGCTTCGAGCTGGGGGTGGGTTGGGGTTGGGTTCCCGGGCCCACCTTGGGCGGGCGGGGTAAAGGGATCACCCAGGACCCTCACCCAGCCTTCTCCTCCGCCTTTGGGGCCGCTGAGTTTCCCTCCTTTCACATGGAGATCCGAGTGGTGCAGACGAGGGTGGGCCGGGCAAATGGAAGGCTGACTATAGAGCTCACCTGCTGGGGTAGAAGAGCAAAAGTGTCGAGGGTCTGTCGCCCCATTTCCAGGTAAGCGACTTGGCAGGAGCTTGGGGGGAAAAGCGAGGGAGGCGTTCTAGGGTTCTGTTATGGCAGGTGTATGATTGTGCTCCTTCCTTCCTCCAACCTGCTCTCTAGTGGGTAGTGGTAGCTTTCATTTGAGTTTAAAATCCATTGGAGTAACATAAAGGAGTAATAGATTCTCATAGTAAGATAGAGTTCATTTCTGTAACATAGACTCTCTTTTATTGTTGTTTTCATTTGCATGTACCACCCCACCCCCAACCACACTATGCATTATAATTTACAAGCCTTAAATCCAGGAACCAGTAAGAAAGCAGAAGTTGCCAGCCAGTGGGACTTTGTTTGGGAAATAATGAATGGGGAGAGACATTCCTTAAATTGTAATGTTTTGTTAGGTCACCAAATCAGATTCCAGCTCAGAGACTTGTTTGTTTACCATTGCAGTGTGTTTGGGGTTCATCATCTGGAGCTAAAGCTCACAATAGCTTTCTGTTTCTTTTTTTTGTTTAAGCTGTTCTGGTGACTTCAAAGAAACCTTTTATTCTGTTGTATTAAAGTGGGACTTTTTTGAACCTGTTTCCTCTTCCAACAGCTATGTTTTGTGGGACTTGGGTTGTTCAAAGTATTCATTTCCAGTTAGGAAAATGATTGTATATTTTAAAGTACATTTTATTTCACGGTGCTTATCTTTAATCCTGTTCTATAGACTTGTGAGAAGCCACTGTATAGGAAAAATTTGTTCAACCTTCTGTAGTAATTTTGCCTAAGAGAGCATAGGTTATGAGTTGAAATTTAGACAGGGCGTCTAAATAAATTCTGCTATTAGATTTTCAGCTTGAAGATTAGCAAGTAAATTTTGTACCTTTCAGAGAGTGGGGGTGAGTCTTTTAGATTTATTTTGTGCTGAAAATAGAGTTGCTTATAAATGCTCACAGGCCACTGCTTCCTAGAAGTATTCTATGATGGCCACTGCCTCAAGCCTTGTTTCACTCCACATTAACCTTGATTGGTTTATTCTGACAGAGAGGAGCGATACTTGTTACTCATTTTGGGGTCCTAGTCCCTGGCATTGGATAGCGTTTTTGTGTGTATTGTTGAATGAATAAATAATTGAATTGGAACCTTATTTTGCCTCTTTCCATTTATAAAGTGTTAGTGGTAAAAGTTGGAACGAGACATCTGAGGCATTAAGTTAGGAGGTCTTAACTTTAGCAAGTTCTTTAGCTAGGTGGTGAAAGGTATAATATTGTAGAGCTTTTCTTTAAGAAACAAGGTAAAATAATTTAGAGAATGACAGTTCCGGTAATGATGACTGAACACCAAAGACAGTGACTCACAGGAGACTCATGGAGGCAGATGTGGTGGAGTAAAAACACGCAGCATTGCCTTGCATAATTTTTGACTGCTCTGTGTTCTTATTATTCTAGCTTTCAAGTCTGAGACTGAGAAATATTGCATTTGCCCAGAATTTTATTAGCAAAATCGTATGCTGATTCAAACTTTTAGAATTTTTTATGAGTAAGTTCCTTTAAAACAGGAACTGTTGGAAATTATTTTTCAAAGAATTATTTGTCAAGGGTGGTCTATAGGAGAGGGTTGAAGGTGGCTTTCCAGAAGGGAGCCGCTGCCCCCCAAAAAAGTCAGAGATCTGTCCACCCTTTGAAATGCTGAATCTCTGGGGAGTTACTCCTTGACTATAGACAGAAGCATACAGAGGAGTCTCTAGTAGACAACCTTGTGTTGGAAGAGGCAAGACCTTCATATGGGTTTGGACTGACACTAGTCAGGTGACATTAGTTGGCTAAGTCACTTAGGCTTTTTAATCTTTAGTTTCGTCATCTGTAAATGAGGGTAATAAATGCCTGCCCTACTTGCCTTGTTACTGCCTACTTGTTATAAAGATCAAATGAAATGATCTTTACAAATTATTTGTAACATGCATTCCTTCTTCTGTATCTACTCACTTCCTGGTGACAAATACTCAAAGGATTAAACACATTAAAGTGTTGGTTGCTATTGCAAGTAAACTAATTTTTGTCCATAATTCCTTTCATTTATCAAGGTTGTTTACCCTTGGGAAACAATTTATAGTAGATTTTTAAATTTTACTTATTTATTTATTTTTTTACAATGTTAATTTTTGGACAGTATTTGATTTCTCCCACAGTTGTAATTCCTGTAGTTCTCCTACCAACCACCACAGCACCCGTGCTTTATCACCATACTCCCTTGTTCTCTTCCCTCCCCTGTTTTGGCATCCCCCATATCTATGGTCAGCTTGCAAGTTTTGTCTTTTATCTGACTGTTTGTTCACTTTCTCTGTATTCAATATATAAGTGAAACCATCTGATATTTATCTTTCCCCTTCTGACTTATTTTGCTTAGCATAATCCCTACCTCCTCCAACAACATTGCTGCAAATGGCATCATTTTTGATTGCTTAGTAGTATTCCACTGTGT